CTCATTAGACATTCTCTTAGAACTTAACTAGATACTGGTTTATATTGTATGTTCATTAGTTTAATACTTAGCATTTTTTTTTCTCAAAGGGAAGACGTTTTCTCAGTTACTTGTTTGGATTGAACCCTGAATTATCAAAGGAGTTTCACAAGACAATAAAGAATCAGATTCCATCATGTGCTATGTAAGTTGAATAGTGCTCTTTATTGAGAGTGACAATCAAAATGCACTTCCAGTTTTAGCTAATTTCTGTTTACCTGGAAATTGATACAGCTAATTTTAATAGAGGCAGTGGAAATGCATGCATACCATGTACAATATCCAGCGTGTAAAGAAAGTAGTGTCCGATAGCCCAGGGTTAGTGGATTTTGCTATCGGGCGAGTGAATTCTGTTTTTAACTTGCCCTACGAGCAAGTGATGTTTTTTTAGGAATTTGAATATCAGAAGAACTGTAATCAATCCTACTCATCAAATTTTTTTCAGGCTAGTTGAAATGACTTTCGGGCTAGTACATGCTAGCTACAGCTTGCCCGAATGGCAAGGTGTAAAACTGACTTTCTTTGCACCCTGATATCATTTGTATACTACTACAGTGGAATCTCTATGTGTGGTAACTTCTATTCAAGGGACACTTCCATTCAGGGGATACAAAATTTGGTCCCCAAAAAATGTTCAGGACAGACAATTAATCTCTGTATAAATTTGGTACCCCTGTTGAAGGGGCACCTCTACATGGGAAAAAGACACTTTTTTCTGGGTCCCAAAACCCCAATTTAACCACCATTCACTTCATGGGACACCTTAGCACTGAGAAAGTGACTGACCATAAAAATCATCGATGAGTTTACATGCAAGTGTAGTCTAGTCACAATGGTGTTGGTTTCAAAACTTGAACAATTTCTTATAAAATTGATGTCCTAAACTTGTGGGAATTCAATACACAATATTGCAGACATAAGATTAAGTTAACCATAATTTGTATGCATTATCTAGCTGCTTGAAATACCATAAACCCTCCATTAAGTCCCCTCCCTCTAATAAGCCCCTGTCCTAAATATTCTTCACTAATAAATGATAGACTGTTTTAATCAATCACGGACTGATCCGGGATGGTTTTGATTCTGATCCTCCACTGCATGACCTCCACCCTTCTTGTATTTGAGTTTTTCCACTTTGCATTGTATCCTAGTTCTTTATGGATAACTGACCAGGGCTCGAAATTAAAAAAATCCTCAGGTCGTCTTTTGGCAACCAACTGGAGAAATATAGTCGCCAGATGCAAATTTTCAGTTGCCAGTTTGTATATGTAAATGACGCAGCTCATAGTCAGGGCTTCTGATATTTCGCGCCGTCGCAGAGCCGCAAAATTCACAAAAACACGCAAAATTCGGTAGAAACCTTATCAAATACATGTCTGTACAACATATTTGAAACTTTTCTCAGCTAATGGGGCTATTTACTTGCCGTAACCTTGTAAAAATATCTAGAAACTTTGTCACTGAAACGTGCAAACAACGTCCCGAAACTCCGAAACTACAAGGTGTAGATTATGTTGCGAAAAACTGGGCACTAGCCATGATGTTAAAGGCTTTGCCATTGGTTCAGTTCTGGAGCGTACTGTTGTTGAAAGAGCAAGTGATGGCCTCTGCTGGAAAAACATTAAAAACGCTGGTCTGGTGAGCCGAAAACCGATCGATCTCCTGAAAATAACCACAAAATCGGCCTTTTTTGACCGATTGATTTTCGGCTATGTTTGCCTTGAAAATTACGGCGAAATCGGTCGATTTTTCCGCGAATTTGCCCCTAAAAATCCTGCGAAATTTGACTTTTTTTCTGCGACCTATCAGAAGCCCTGTATAGTATGGTGTGATCCATCAGATTTGAAAATATCGTGGATAGATGTCGGTATAAATTTGGAGGTAAACTGGCTTTGTCTATGCGATTTGGCACATTTTTTATGATGAAAGCAAAGCAGGATAAGATGAAATGTTTGTTTTAACTTTACTCTTTTAATTCTAAATCATAGAGAAATCTGGTCGCCACTTTGGCGACTAAACTAGAATTTTTAGTCGCCAAGGAGAAAATGTTAGTCGCATTGGCGACCGTATCAGTCGCAATTTTGAGCCCTGCTGACACTGTTGTCTTTTCTAAATTAAATAAGACCCCCTTCTCAATTAACCCCTCCCCCCTGCCCCCCCCCACCGCTGCCTCTCAACCCCTTCACTGGGCTGGGCTTCAAATAAATAAGCCCCCCAGGGGGCTTAATAGAGGATTTACGGTATTGACTGCAGCAGATTCTGAGGCAGAATAAAATAAAAATCTTTTATTTGTTGGTTAATTACTAACAAACCTCAGCCCAACCTCCATTCAAGGGACAGTTGCCTTGGTCCCGAGGGTGTCCCCTGAATGGTGGTTCCACTGTAATTTTTCAAACAGATTGTATATATATACTGTATATTTTTTTATTCATAGGAATGTGCTCAGTCTCTATGGTGAAGTTTATTTCCGTGCATGGAGAGTTGCATCTGGACCATACTTAAAGGTTGTGCTTTTTGCGCCATATTATTAAACCTTTGGTGGCGGCCAGCAAGTAGCAAAAATACTGCCTTTTTTGCCAATTGCTCTTCTTTGGACTGGTTTTCAGCTAATAATTATAATTAGCTTGAGAACGGCTAAAAATTAGTTTTGCAACAAAAAATGGTAATTTTCCAACTAGTCAGACATACTTAAACACCTTTTTTGTTTTTTGTTAATGGGCACAAGCCAAAATTTGGACTCCCTTTTTTTTTATCTATTTTGATTTTTCTCTCTTGTTCATTTTTTTTATTTTTTCGGTTTGCCTTTCTTCTTTATAAGCAGTTTTGTTGCCCATTTGATTGTTCTTCTTTTATGTCGAATTGTGGCTGGCTAACTCTTTAGGAAAAGAACAAAGTTAATCTTCAAAGGGTAGTAGGTTAAAAGCGAAATTGGGGAGTAAGTGTTATTCTGTGCCATTTTAAGGTGTTGGAAGAGAATTGCTTTCAAGATCTGATGTATTCTGCGGTCCATGCCCAGCGCAGTGGAACTCAGTCCATGGCTTCAAGACTCCGAAAGGTCAGCTTGTAGTTAGTCTTGCAAACTTCACTTCATTAATAACAATAGGCAGATGATAGGCAGAGAGAAGAGGTGCTGTTGACGAATTTGTTATACTCCTGGGTCAAAACCTTTTGTACATGTATGCCTCAAATCTAGACATTGCAAGTAAATTTTGTTTTCATTGATTGTTATTGTAATTTTTAGGTGCTGGAGTACTTTCATCAGCAAAAGAAGCAAAGAGGAGTTGATGAAGCTCTCCTCCGACTGTATCAACCAATAATATGGAGAGCATTCAAGGTTATACAGACTAAAACTCTTCCTTTTATACATGTTATCAAGAACTTCTGTCACAGGGTTACAAATTCCTTTGTATTAGTAATAATACTATATCCTGAATGCTAAAAATATAGAAAACAAAACAATGTGAGACAGGTCTGTGTACTATCTGTCTCTTACCTGTATACTGTAACTTAGTAATAATATATTTTACAAAAATATCAATGTTGTTGTAACTATACGCTTTTAAAGTTTGAACTCCTACTGAATTCCAAAAGCCTTTGACCACTAGCTATGGTAAATAATTGAATATTTCTTTTATTACTAGGTTGCAAACCCAATGGTTAGAGCCAATGCCACAGCTCTTTTGACCGATACATTTCCACTCCAGAATCCAGATGCTGGGAACGAAGAGATTGATGCACTTTTACAGAAACAATTTGATATTCTTAAAGTATAAATGCATTAAGTGCTTTGTAAAAATAGAAGTTAAATAATTATTGTCTTGTAATGCTGTCACTACTGACACTTCTAAACTAAATTAAACACATTTGCTTATTGTTTTTGATCAGCTAACGAATTAACAGACACCTCTGTTACAAATATGATCTCTGATTGGCCAATTGATATCTGCCAACTGCAACTGAATCTGTTGCACTTAGAAACTCCATGCGATAACCTTCTGATACAGTATTTCCAATTTTAATCCATCTTAAAGGAAAAAAAAAGGAATTAAGCCTACATGAAAGGCGAACCAAGAAGTCAATTATGAAGAAGAAAATATAACCATACACATCATCTACATGTAATCACCCTTTTTCTCAGAAGATTAATTTTTGTAAATAGGCCCACAAGTCTTGGTGACCAGGTACTTTCCACATACTGTCCCTCAGTCAATCTGCTGAGGATACATGTCGTCCTTTTCATTTTATTAGAGCTACGACGCATGCCTGCCTACAGGTTCCAGTTCCTCCCTCCTTAATTATTGTCATAGGCATTTATTGACACACAAATAAAAACTAAGACGTTTCTATTTTGGCCTTAATCATAACTATAACAAAATTCTCACATCTGATTGGCTATCCACTGTCCTGGTTTCAGCACTAATAGGATAGTATGCATCTTGCCTAAGTAATTGGACAGTACACGCTATCGCACACGTGCACTTAAATGCTTTTTTTAAATTTTTTTTTCCACTGCTAGCAAAAAAACTCAAAATAAAACTAAAGTAATATCACAAATTTTGTTATTGTTATAAAAAATTATAAATTGGCAACAGAACTTGGCGTCATCCAGTTCAGTCCGTAATCATACTCGTGATTATTCAAATCAAACTCCACACTCGTATGATTACAGACCGAACTGGACTCCACTCAGCCCTATTACCATTATTTATCTGTTTCTCTCTTCTTAGGACTTGTTAGAAGACCCTTGTCCCACTGTCAGAGCCACTGCCATTCATGGTGTGTGTCGCATCACTGGTGTATTCTGGGAACTTATTCCGGCACATGTCATTAAGATGTTCCTAACAACGCTGGTAAGAGCATGATATTTATAAATAACACTAAACTTCAAAGGGGCTTTGTTGTGGAATTTTTGAGGAGTTCTCTTGTTGTTCCTGTTGTTTTTGTGTTTGGTTGGTTGGATATGTTTTTGTATTTGATCTATTTTGTCCGTTTTTTTGTTTTGATATTTAACGTTTTATTTATGAAATCATAGCTACATATTAACAAAGTTGAGTCTGTTCTAATTTGTTTTGTTCTAATTCAATAACAATAACAACTGTTTTATTCAGATCAATGACCTGGCTTTCGACACATCCTCAAGTGCTGTGAGAGTGGCAGTTTTTCAGGTAAGCTTTTGGTTACTTAAGTACAAGGTTTCATGAATTTCTGCTGTAAATGTTCAAAAGGGCCAGCTTCTTTTTAATTTTTTTTTGAGCAACTGCAGGTACAGGTTTGTTTTACATGTGATAATTATGAGAAGAAACGTTTAAACTGAAACAAACTGAGCTATTCGTCCGCTTAATATTGCTATAACAAACTCCTGCATCAAATATACGTGTATTCTGTGTTTTCCTTGTTCTTACCAGAGGTAAGATTTTGTCAGGGAAAAAAATGAAGTCAAAACGGGATGCATTTAACTTTAGTCAAGGACGCGTGACCAACAATCAAACCAAAGTGGTCCCCATTTAATTGAGTGAAAGGCTAGGGATATAACAAGCATATGTTTTTACTGAACTTTTGTTGATTTAGGGCCATAGCGTGATGTCCATTTTATCTTGTTACTTTTAAGGGTTTAAAGTTTGTGCTGGACAATCGTCTTAGTCATCCACTCCTGAAACCTTTGCTGGGTAATCTGCAAGATCTGGTGCATGATACAGCTGAGAGAGTGAGGGTGGCTTTCCTTGATGTGTTGATTCTTGTCAAAGGACTAAAGGCAATCAAGGTTTGTAAAGCCAAAAAAGACATTGTTTTTCTAGTAAAATATTTATTGAAGTAGTTTTTGAGACGAGGATCAAACAAGAAGAGCTCGCACTCGCGAAGAGAGCCGCCTGCCTCTTGGTAATTTCTGCGGTAGTCGCAGCGCAAAGGGGTCATGGGAGGCCAGATGAAAAATCGGGAAGCTTCGTTTTTTACGTTCAGCTTTCCGCTGTGCCTTTGCGTTTTTCAAACTTTCCCATGATCCTTGTGTGAAGCGCCTGGGTACTAGGAAATTGAGCCTATTAAGAAGGTGATCCACTACCTACATAGACATGAAGGTGGCAATTAATCGAGAAAATAAAATGAATGTGTCTTCACTTGTGAGGGACGGTGTTAGTTTGGTTCCATTTGCTACGCGTATCATTGTCAAGATTAAATTATTTGTAATTGTTAGCTCAAATCGGATTTCTCGTTGTCAGCTGCACCGTTTTTTTGAACTCACTTTTTCGTAACAGAGTATCGCATGAAATACATTCTTGTGTTTGCTATAATCGTTATGTAACGGTTTGGTTTATTATTGTGTTTACAGTTCTGGAATATAGTACCCTTGGAACAGTTGCTTTCTCAGCTGGAGGTGGAACAATCTGCAGCGGTAATCAGGAGAATCGTGAAACTGCTCGTGAATTCATTTCATCCCACAGGCAAAGGAGCCGACACTCAGGTTATTGGTAACATTAACATCTCTTTGCCCCCCCCCCCAAAAAAAAACCATGAAGAGCTTCTATAAGAACCTCATTTTAGCACCCGCTTAAATGGTGGCGGGGGACCCCAGCCACCTACATGGGGTCCCCTACCTCCATGTAAACAGGCCGTATTAAAGTCAGAGTTTATTCTAATATTTTGAAAGATGATCTCATTTTGAATTCTTTGCTTGAAGGTAACGCGCTGTTCAGCTCTATGGCAGTCCAATCCTGTGGCAGCCAGGAAGTTCTACCAATATGTACATCTACACTCAACAGTATCAGCAACAGGTTGATTTATAGCGAGTACTTTTATAATTCATAAAAAAAATTCTTGTCTTATTTAAGGCTTTTAGTGCCAGAGATTTCTTTGAAGGACTGTTATTTTAATGGGAAACGCCCAAAAAAGTTCGTTGTTGTCGATTTTCTTTTTGTATTTGGAGGAGTGCATTTTTAGCGTTATCTACGGTAACTAGCGACGATTCTTAGAGGTTCAATAGGCCATTTCAGAGTTCCCCCGGGCCTCTGTATCGAAACGAGGTTAAGTGCTCAGCCTTTGAAACGGAAAAATTTTCATTCTCATGCAAATAAAACTCATTTTCACAAGAAAGGTTGTGCACTTGGCCTCATTTTGAAAGTAAGGGTTTTTGGATCTTGAAAGTGGCCTATTGACTGTGGATTCAAGCGGACTATTTGGGTCGGTTATAAAAACGGAGAGGCAACGTTTTAGAAAACCGCTTTCTCAACGGAATTTTCCGCTTTCTCAACCCTAATATCTAAACGCTTTTTATATTGAACAGTTTCCTGAAAGCGTCGAGTTTATCTTTACGAAAATCATGACTTTTTTAAACCGCGGATTGAATTAGACTTTTTTTTTGTATCAACCGACCTTTATTCTTCGTGTTTTACAAACTTACTTTTATCCTACTTTACCTCGGAGCAGTTTACAGAATAAAATACACTTTCTTGACAAAAATATTCAAAGTAGCGGCTGTTAAGTTATTATTGAAGACTACTTTCTTCCGAAGTACTTACAGTCCCCGTAATATTGGCAGTATATGACAAATTATCTCTCCCTGCAACGGAAACAGACATGAAAGTCGGTAAACCAAGTTATCTCTTAAAAAAGTATGTGTATGTGTTAAGAGTTAAAAGAATGTTTTCTATAATATATTTTCGGGTCAGGTCAAAAGGTCATGTTTCACTGCTTGTTTGTTCATTTGTTTGTCCTTGCAAACGGGAATAACTTGTCAATACTTATGTTTTATGTACTCTTCATTTTATCAATTATCATATCTTGTTCGCTCTGTAGGAAAGTTTATGGTCTGTCTTTGTCATTGCCTTGTAACGTTTGCGCAAAAAGGAGGCGATGAAAGTAACATATCTTTCGAATCTGAAAGCGAAGGTTTGTTTATTTCGTTTTCATTTGTTTTAGTTTAGTTTTCTGTTCTTTTGTTTTGTTTGTTTTTTGCTTGTTTTGTTTGTTGTTGTTGTTTTTTTTTTTGCTTGTTTTGATTTCAAAAGTTGCGTAGCAGCGAAAAAGTTTTCTGACAGAGAAAGAGTTCGTTTCGACGTCATTTTTCCCTTTTGTATAGAAAATCCTACCTCAAGCGAGGACAAGGAAAACACAGACAGTGCTGCAGCGAATACAGATACATTTGATGCAGGAGTTTTAGCGGGGATGGCTGAAACAGTTGCTATTTGCTGGGGAGGTATCAAGGACAAATTGGAGAAAGTAAGTTCTCTGTTTGTGTAATGACTCTTACCTCAAGGTCTGCTAAGACTAAAGCACTCAATCTTTCGACAGGCAGGCGTTATTTTTCCCCCGCGTTTTTCAGGCGAGCACGAAGCGGACATGGAGCACAATGTACCCGCTACCTTGCTCTTCACGTCCGCTTCGTGCTCGCCTCTCGCCTGAAAAACGCAACATGCATCGACTGCATCTCACATCTTTATCTGCTACGGGTATTACGCATTGCATCCTTATTGCGTATTACACATCTTTAATCCAAAGGGTGGAAACGAATCGACAAAGACCAAGCTAGTTGAGAAGTTCACAAAGGCTCTTCCCAAGCTCTTTGGAGGATTAAAGGTGACTATAACTTGCAGAAGTGTTTCGCGTCTAGTAATGTTTACAATGTCCTAGAATTCTTTGAGTACCAGCCTTACATCGCCCATGCAAGATTGACGATTTTGTTAGCCGTGGGTGTTTTCTCTGTTTAGGGCCGGAGCTTAAGCAACGACAACGGCGACGACAACGAAAATGTCACCTTGAAGGTGAACTTGCGCTGTTTCAAACATTATCGTTCTCATTCCATTTCGTTATTTTTTATTTTTTATTTTTTTTTCAAATTTTGGCGAAGTTTTCTGGTTGTCATTTTCAATCGATTCATCGTATAAGTGTGGACAGGCGAAAACGATGCCAAAACGCTACGAGTGGACGCGAATTTTTTTTTTGAAAATGAAGAAAAAAAAGGTTGCGTTTTCAAACGAATACGGATACTTGTGGCCAGGGCCTAAACCTATTGCTTTTTTGCCGTTCACGTGTCCGTCGCCGTCTTCGCCGCTTAAGCTCCTTAGTATCAGGTGGATAAATACTAAATTTGAACCGACCGAGTTTTTATCGACCTGATATCCTTACCCTAATATCAGGTCGATAAAAACTCGTTGGTCGGTTCAAATTTAGAATCATTCTGAATCATTCTGAAATAAACACTATGCGACATTTGACACAGGGCTCGCGAGCTTACCTTACACTTTACTCGATTTTCAACTGGAATTGTTTAGCTTATTTTAATCTACTGTTATGTTATGCGTTTTATTTTATTTACTCCGTTTTTCTGTCTAACAGCACCCTCGTATTCAAGCAGCGTGTTTAGTGATCGCTGGTTTCTTGCCCTCGTCATCTCTGCCTGTTTTCAGGTAAATACAGTTACTGCAGTAAAGAAAAAAAAACACTATACATGACCAACTAAGATAAAGACGATAAGACATCTAGGGCGCCTTAACTTAACCACGATTTAAGAAATATAAACTGAAACGTTTTGAAGGCTACTTTCCAGTACAGTTGAGATTCTCGTGCCCGTTTCTAATTGTCAACTTAGTCCGGCAGTTTTTAAGAATAAAACCCCTCAAACGTTCTACAGGCTCTATGGCTGTGTTCACACTAGAGACGGATAATTCATCTTCAAAATCCGTCAAAATTGACCGAAAAAAAAAAACAGATGGATAAAGTCAAGCGGATTGTCCATCCAAAATTAAGACCGTTCCCTTTTGAAATTAAGACGTATTATCTGTCTGACGCGAATTATCCAACGGATAATCCGTCTCTAGTGTGAATATGGCCAATGTTGGTGCAACTCGGGATGATTGTGTAATTGTGTTTCTAGTGCCAAATGCTTGTCATCTCTGTCCTCTCTGCCTGTTACCACTCCAAATACGGAGTACGGCCCCCTTCTGAACTGTTTGTGCGCCTGGGACAGAACCACCGATGTACTCGAGCTTATAAATGAGTGGATTGTAGGTGGAATGAATGGACCACCTAAAGATCCCAGAATGGTAAGCCGTGCAGAATAAACAGAATATTTAGCAATTACTGAATTCGGCTTTCGTAGGATGTGAAGAATTACAGTCCAACCTCTTTAATTCGGACACCAAAGGGACATAACCAAATGTCCGCTTTACACAAGTGTCCGTATTATAGAGGTAGGGAATGTATGATTTCTGCATTTCTGGGACCAAACGAACATGTCCGTAATAGAGAGGTGTCCGTAAGGAGAGGTTAGACTGTATGCAGATCTAGGAGGATTGTTATTCACCGATGCTGAAGGCCGAGGTGGATAAAATCCTCCGAGATCTGCATAATTCTTCACATCCTACGAAAGTCGAATACAATAATTGTTTTATTATTCATTCAAAATGTTTCTACGTTTCTAAGATTACCTCCTCGTAGACTTTCTTCAAACCTTTGGCCTATGTCTCGGTACTGTTAATGAATAAAATTCATCGTGCGATATGTCTAGCGTATTCTTGTATTTCTTTCGTTCAGTTTTAGTTAAAAATCAGCTATTTCGTCTTCGGATAGCCTAATCTCCTACCCAGATCTCACTCTGTTTTGGCCGTGGGAGATCTGGGTACGAGATTACGGATAGCCGTTAACGCCATTTGTTTTAGTTCACTCGTGAATAAACCGCTTGGCGTCTTGGCGATAGTCTATTACCCTAGCAGCCTCGTTTCCAACGTTTCCAGTGAATTATGCCATGGATCAACCACGTTTCCAATCAAATATTCCCTCTAATCAATGGCATATTGCGCGCATCTTTCAGATATGGTAAGCGCCAGTTAGTTATGACCTTAATTATTCCGGATATCAAAAAACTTCATCCGATAATTTAAAAAAACTGTCTTTTTGATAAAATGAATAATTTATTTCGTACTGCGCCATTTAGATCCGTTGCCGCCCTGGCTGACGCGGAAAAAACACCTTAGCAAATAATGACGTTTGTATGTTTATGGTGGCATAAAAATTTATTGATATTTTGTTGAATCCAGGTTGAAAGGACCGGAAGAAAGAAGAAATCAGTGGCCTTTCAACTCCCCATGGAGAATAAGCAAATGTTGGCGTTGGAATTTCTTTCTTGGCTAATGGTAAGCACAAAAATTAACATCAAACTACTGCTAGAGAATTTCGAGCACTTCGTTTACTTTGATTTTTTTGTCTGTGATTGGTTAAAATAATTGTTCTTGGTGTTCTGTTCTTTATTTCTTCTTATCACCAGGGCGAGCCTACATGCCGTACAGCAGTCCAGGGGCATCCTGAAATCCTACGGCAGATTACTGATAATTTGAGAATGACAATGGTAAGGCAATTTAGGCAGTTGTAGGGGTTGAGGGTGGTGGATAATGGAGGAATGGAGTGAATGGAGTAATAGAGGGGTCTGAAAATGGTAGAAAGCACATTGCTATAAAGCTGAACATTTTTCCTCAACAGCGCGCTCCTATTCGTTACTTAGAGGTCACATGACATCTTGCAATAAAACAAGTTCCCGCCAAAAGTTTTCCAGAAGAAAACATTGTAGAATCTGTGACGTCAAAGGGTAACGCGAGCGTTGACTGCTGGCTGAAATTTACTTTCACAGATTTGTAGACGTAGAAGTTTCTCTTCTTACGCTTTTATAAAAATTTCATTTTGTTTCTCTCGACTCGAATATCAATGGTTCCCTTCCTTCTCCTTTATTTTACATGTTGATGTTTTCCTTTAGTCAACTATCGAGTCTCGTCTTTCAACGAGTCAGCAAACACCTGAGCCTTTGACACAAAGTGAGGTGGAGTTCTTTCACAAGTCGTTTGAAGCGTATTGTCTTACAGAGATCCATTTACACCACATGGTAAGCTTTTGCATTGGTGGCTAGAATTGTAAATAAATTGTAATTTTTTTATCCACGAAGCACTTAGGAGTTCCTAAGAACATCTATGATCGTGTCCGTGCGTTCCAGATCGAATTCGAATTAGGAAGCGTTGGTTTCTGAGGATTTTGTGTACAGTGTTATTAAATTGTGCATGAGTGTTAAACGGTTTTGTGCCGAATTGTACCATTGGAATGTTTTCGGAAATAGCCTATAGGCGAATCCTGGTTTACAGTTTTTGCCTCATTATCATAGGCTTATCATTATCTATAATGAAGCTAATAAAATGAAACTTTTGAATTTTGAAAGAGCATAACAATTTCAGTTATTTCTGAAATTTGAGCCCGATATGCCAAATAGTTTCGGAGAAATTCTTTTTTGAAAAACCCCCAAATTTACAAAGAATGTATGAGCTCATTAACGTTTTGCTATTTTCTTTTTTACTGGTTGCAAAGGGCTGAAACTTGCACAACTGCATAACTTAACCAGCTCTTTTAATTTTTGCGCCTTATTGGTATATATGGCTACATCTTCTATGGATTAACTCGTATACTAATGAGCCAAAAATGTAAACAATGACGTCACGATGAATCCGCCTATTAAAGAAGCGAGTGTCCAAAACAGTCCCAGAGTGCATTTCGACTAATTCCAGACCTAGGCTCACGGGCAATTGGGTCCTACTAACGTTCTGGCTCCTCGATTGGTCAAGTAGAGTTTAGATTGCACTGTAAATTAAAAAGAACTGTTTCAGCCCCAAAGTGTCAATTCAGCCCTGCAGGCCAAAGTCTGATTCAGCCCTTCCTGGAGCCAATTGAGCACAATTTAGGCCAGAAAAGCTCTATCAAAAGGCTATTCCAGCCCACGGTAGGGCCCATTTCAGCCCTGGGACCAAATCAGCCCTAGCTAATTGGACTGTATTGGCCCTGATTTAAGGGAGCCAAATTAGACTCAAAAATAGGACTGTATTTTACTCACCGAAACGGCCCTATTTTTAGGGCTAAAACAGATCTTTCTGATTTAGAGTGTGGTCTCCCATTTCTTTAAGCCGTCAATCAAATTAATACTTTGCAATTGATTGTTCTAGGAAAAGAACGAAGAGTATGGTGGCGCTATGGCTGCTTTGGAAAATGTCCTCGTCTGGGCTGACAGGGTTTTACTACCAGCAATCAGCTCTGAAGGGTTTGTTTGTGTTTTTGTTTTGTTTTGTTTTTTGATGGTTTGTTTTTTTTTAGCTGTTTTTATTTTTTATTGCATTGCATGGCAAAAATCCAATGATTCTGGCACTTTTTCTGTATTGACCATCGAAAAGTTCCAAATCGTCCACAGAACGTTTAATCGTCGACTTTTTTCGAAGTGCATGCTTACATGGGGAATGTATGACGGCAAAAATCAAAACCACTCGCAAAGATAACCTTTTAGTGATCCTCATCAGTTCGCTGCTATCGTCCCACCACTTCACGCTCTGTCGGGTAATTCATTAATTTTTATTTCATGTTCCCCTGATCCCAGCGGCTGTAAATTGGAAAAATGGACGTATAGAAAAAAAAAAAAAAGGGTGAAGGACGAGCTTCTGATTTCGACTTCATCCAACTTTATTTTTTCACGGTGACATATACGAGAAACGCGGAAATATGACACTTTTCGCGTGAAACAAGCCGTTCTATTTATACTCGGTAAAGAGTTTACTCAAGAAATCAGTGGAGATAGGGGGTCCTAGTGATAAGGCTCCTGTCCTTTATCATTTATTTCAATACCAAAACGCCTCCTTTGTCGGTGGCTTAAGGTGTGGCAATAGATTTAGTAGGCAATAGATTTACCAGATAATGTAAGCTACAAAATGAACGATTGTAACACAGTAAGATAAGATTGTACATCTCCACTAACATTTTGTCTGTCGTTCTCCCATTTGTTCTTATTACGTAGGAATTGTCTCATCTCCCTTCCATCAGAAGCTAAGAGTGCTAGACGAGTTCTTGATGAAGGACATAACTCCAGTTCCCTTGTGGTGCAACTTGTGAAGGTATACTGGATTAACTAACAAATTAAGCCCCAAGGTCCAAATACAAATTCTCCACACTAGTGTCCATACATTGCGTTATAGAATTAGTTGAGAGAACTTGATAAAAGATCAAAGCATTTCGTTTGTGTTCATCATTTTATTAATTCTCCTAACCTTTTCTATTGATGATGTTTTGATATAGTTAGGAGAAAATTGATGTTGATCACCCTTGGGACTTAAAGGGTTAACCAATGCCGACGCTCAATTGTATTTCGGAGAAGAACTTTTCATTGGAGAGTTTTCTATCTGGTATAGCATTTTAAGATTGAGAGGATGAGAGAACAGAACTCTTTGATATTTTGCCGCAATAAGTGCGATAAATTGATTTCTCACCCAAAACTGTTGACTGATGATGCTTGCCACGGTTTTGGCGTTAAAACACACATAACCCTTTAATGGCATGATTAACTAAACGTCGGCCGCGTGACCAGCGTTCAGGGAAGGGGGTAGGGAGGGTTATGTAATCACGTTAAATCCGGAATGCCCCAACAATCGCGCTTGCATTAATCCTCCCCCGCTCCTCCCCTTTGTACACTGGCCGCGCAGACTAAGCTATAAATGATCGACCTTAAATGCAATGCGTCGTTGCGGCGACACTTTGCAGATATGTAAAACACGGACAAACGAATATCCTTAGAACGGCGTGTTACAGTAGTTACTTTTTCATCTTTTCAGTAACATGTTTGTGTTTATGCTGAGTCGTATTTTTTTTCCCTAGACCATTTTGACTTGTTTAAGTGAGATGGTAATGCTTGGATTAACACAAGAAAAGTTTTACAACCACGCAGCGGTGTTCACAACGTCTCTTGCTAAACTAGGTGAGCTGTTTCGCGTTAAGTTTTTTTCAAGCTTTCTTATGAAAAAGCGTATTAAATTACAAATATCCAACAGCATTGATAGAAGGGCGAGGGCCTTTTAAAAAGCAGCAGTGTCCCATTTCGACTATGTCCACATCATGGTTCATACAATCTTGACAGGGTCTTGAATTGTACTAGTCGTCTTGAAAAGTATTTGAATTCGGATCTTACTTCTGTTTCTTTATTCTAAATTCTGTTTCTGTACGTCTGATGCAATTGCAAGTCATGCCCAGTAATTTTCCAAAGCGTTGTTGCGAAAAGTAGTAAAAAATAATCTGATCAACCATGGCTGAAGAATTAAAAATCGTAAATGACTCCATGACGTGTTTTAGCCAATAAGGTGTTCAAAAAGGAGTTAAAGAGTGCCGTTTTATTGCGTAAATCGTAGTACTTGAAAACTGTAATTTGTCCTGGAAAAATCTTGAAAATTTGTGAAATTTGTTTGTCTGAAGTTGTACGAACCATGCCCACCATGCCGTGTAGCCAGCAAGAGACCTGGGTACAAGAATACCTGTGCAGTAAACGGATTTATCCGATGCGCCCTATACTACTCGCAGAGCAGGACTCGTGTTTTATCGCTACGGCTAAAATGCGTGGTTATTTCTACATCAGTGATAGCAGCTTAGTTACCTTAAATGCTTAAAATAGTTATCTTGGCCCGTCTTGGAAAGCACTTCCCAATTTAGTGTAATATTTGATATGTAATTAAGATACCTTGTTATTTTCTTTGCTGTTGGTCTTTAAATTCTCCAAAATCCGAAATCGTTTGTCGTGGAATTTCAATTTCTAGACCATGATATGAACGAAGAGATTTTTTTGTCTTTCACTCCTTATCTTTTAAAGTAATTTTTCTTAATCTGTGAAAAAGATAGACCTAGTATACAACTACGCTTTATCAGTATTTAATTTCATGGTTTTCTTTTGTTTACCTGTAATTATTTGGCACTTATTATTGGATATTGTTTCACAGGCTAAATAAAATCATTCTAAGTCAGAGACTAAACTCTGGTGTCAATTAATAATTAAGTGATTTCTTACTCAACAGGTTGTAAAGCAGTACAGTTCCTACCACAGCTTTCTAAAGTCTTGTATCAGATTGCACTGAGTGCAGTCCTGAGTAACGGTGAGTTAGATACCTCTAACATATAGCTATTTCATTCACCTCAATTCTCTCTGTGGTAATTTCTGCATGTGAATCCACCTTTTTTGTTGTCTATAAAAAATTAAAGGCAAAACGTTTTTGTTTGTTTGTTCGTTTGTTTGTTTTTTAATTCCCTCGTGAAATCCCCGGGCAGAAACGTGTCCATTCTAATGGGGGACATTTACTCCATTTGGTACTATTTTACCTTAGGTCTACCAATTAGAACATGACGGTCTATTACAAATTTAACAAATGTCTCAAGTTATATTCGAATATCTCCCACCTTACTACAAGATATTTATTTTTTAATGATTGACTTTGCTCCAGATGTAATCCTGTGCATACTTAACTATCAACACCCTTAACCGAGGGTATGTCACTTACACCTCAGGCAATGTTCATACTATACTGAATAACTTTTCGTGCCGCCACGAAGAGCTATTCGGTATAGTATCAACACCTATCCGATAGGTGACTCTCCACTTTAGGGATCGGCGAGGCGCTGCTTCGCTCCGTCGTAGAAATCGCGCTGAAATCACCCCACCCCTCCCCTCCCCTCCCCTCCCCTGCTTTTATTTGTGGACCTAACTGAGACCCGAAGGGCCGAAAAAAAAATTGAGACCGGGCCCCCCTCCTTATCTCAGGGTCTGGATGACCTTCCCCCCGCCCCCCCCTTATCGGAAGGTATGGATCCACCAATGTAGTGTGAACATGGTCGGACTTAATCAACAACAAACAACGACAAAACTTTATTAATAAGCAGATTATATAACAGAAGTACTGCCCACAGCTAGCAAGGCGATTTGAGGCGGAACAGCGCGTGCAAAACAAAGAAATAGAGATTAACGCTAACGAAAGAAAATTTTACGATTATTGCAAATAGAAATCGTAATACGGTTGAGCACCAGATAACACGATAGAGATGAAAGAATTAAACAAATTAACAAACTTTCAAAGTAGAAACGATTATGCAAAGATAATCGGTTTCTCTCTCGCCTTTTGTAGAATCTGGGAATGTTAATCTTCGAAGCGGTCCAGTGTCCGCTATCCTGCGAAACTTGCTGGAAATTCTCCTTGCATGTGATACAGATGAGGTTGATGTTCTGACCCAGGTCAGTATGGGCTGCTAGACCACTTAGATCTTACAATTAATTTGTGTAGAAACGCATCAGCAGAGTACATTCACAAGCGAGGGATACATGTCTTTCACTATTGCAATGTAGTAGGTTTATCGGATCAAATTAGGTTTCTGGGAAAATGCCCACCTACCCCTCCCCTGCACTTTGGCTCGTGTCAACTTGGTCAGAATAAAAAAAATCAAAATCAGAGCATGTGCGAGCCCTTTTGTCAGCTCTTAGCTCGAGAAAAGAGGAGGAACTGCTTTTCTCATATGAACGCTCTATAAAGTGGACCCGGCTAGGAGGGTGGCTCTCTTTTCCGGGGCAACTTTTTTATAAACGGAGCCGTACACGCAACTATTTAACAAACGTTTTGATTAGAGTAGGTGAAAGCAAATCTTGGTGTACACACTGACTTGAGTTCACTAAAACATTCTTTATTTGTTGCAAGTCATGAAGTAAATTTGTACTTGTTCCCAATAATTGTTTTCTTGTTTTCTTTTTGTTGGTTTGTTTGTTTGTTTGTTTGTTATTTTTATTTTTAATTCTCATTCAACCACCGTGAAACTTTTATACGTTTCTAGGAATCTGCACAACTACCCCTCCCCTAAGCCAACATTAACACTTACTTCTCACTTAGGGCAAAATGTTGGCTTAGGGGAGGGGTAGGTGGTCAGTTTCCCAGAAACATATAATGATCCAAACTTATTTGGAAGGTATTGCACCCAGTCTCTTTTTTTATTATTTTTTTTTGTTGTTTTTTGTTTTTGTTTTTTTTTTTTTGGAACTTAGGAAATGCCTGTTGCTAATTTTTTAGTCACGAATTGTACCTATCAATTAATTTTAGTGTACTTCCCCCAGCAAAATAGGTCGTAATTCATTACCCTTCCTTGCCCGAATTAGCACCAGAGTCTCTATTTGTAGGCCCTGTTTGCTGTTCGTCCTGCGCTGGCGGAAGTCCTTCTACTTACAGAGGTTAGAAGAAGACGTGTTGGAACAAATGCAGGTCTTATGGGGCCCCTCCTGTTTGCGGTGATAAATAACATCAAACAGCAGGTACATAACTTTGTTCGAGGAAGGCTGTTAAGTTCCTAAAGGGGTGTTTACATGAGAAAACTCTCATCGGCGCGAGTTTCATACTGAGATAACTTTTTGATTTCGTATCGTGTTTACATGATGACTGGGTCATTTCATATCTCGTTATTTGAAGGTACACTTCATGTTGATAAAATACACGTGTGATTCAAAATCGCAACCATTACGCATGCGATACCCGTTCCAGTCTACAGGCAGACCGATTTCACACCGAAATGGGTGGTTTCGCGTTTACATGATACCGTACTGGAGTGAAATTCTCTCCCCGGTACTACAACCGGGTGAACTCACGCCGGGGTGACCCTCGCCGGCATGACATTTTGTCGTGGTATTATGTAAACAAATATAAGAGCCATGAGTAGGCTCAGCTGCACCGACCGAGCGAGCGGCGAAGTTTCGAGGTCAACTTGTTTCGCCTGAATGGATTTGAATCATTATAAATTCACGCGGGAAAAAGAATGACTGACATATGCTATGGCGGGAGCGACGTGAAATATCATTCACTGTCCTATTGGTCATTTATCATGACGTCACCGGTAGAATTCTTGACTGGTGAATTTCGCGCCAAACAGTTATGGAAGTCCTTTAAAATGGGATAACCAAGCCTTCCCCTTTAGCTACTTCTTGAACTCTTTCGTAAGCCATAGAGCTTCTTGGCAAACTTAAACGATCTAACTCTTGTTTTCTTGTTTGTTTGTTTGTTTGTTTGTTTGTTTTAGGGATTGATAGCTTTAGACGACGCTAAAGAGTCTGAGTTACCAATGGTGGCTGCCTTTGTAATGAAATTGGTCTCAAGCTCACAAGCTCTGTTGAAGTTAGTTATTGACTGAAAACAACGCTAAATATAGAAGTCGGAATGAAATTCATGTAATGATGTTCCCAGGAAATAGTTAAAGTGGCTCCGTTATTATTACAGGACCAGTGAAAAAAAAAACAGCAAGTTTCCCCAAAGTTTCGTAGCCATCGCTTTACAACCAAGAAGGGTATACGACAAAGTTAGTTTTAGATCACCACCCCGGCAATAACGACGAAAGCATATTGAGGGATGGCTTTATGGCAGACTTAGCCCAATTTGGGCCCAATAATAATGAGATAAAATGAATAAAATAAAAATACGGGGGTGGGGAGAAGGAAGTAGGGAATGAGAAATTCCAAATACCACGTGTTTAAAATGGCGAGGCGAGGCGAATATTTTCTCCTGAAAAGGAATATAAAAAACACAGTCTGCTGCCTGGCGCGTTGTGACATTTATGATTATAATGAAGGCTCCAGGCTGCTCAGAGGTTCCCCCTGACAAATTTAGCAAAGTATCTTTAATTAGTTAATGGCCGTTTTTATGCTAGAGACGTTAAAGTCGTCTGAGACGTTAAAGTCGTCTTAAGACGACTTTAATGTCTAGTATAAAAACGGTAAATAAGGCAGACGACTTTAACGTCTGACGACTTTAACGTCTTCTGTTTAGTGCGTCCGAACGACGCACTTAACAGACGACTTTAACGTCTCAGACGTTAAAGTCGTCTGGTATAAAGACGGGACGTCGTAAACTAGGAAGTTTGCTAGCTTGAAGTTCATTTTTGGCGCTGCTTTAACTCGTGTCCAGTGTCTTCTGAGAGTGGAGCCTAGTCCTTTTTTCAGAAAAATCTACTTTTTTAAATAAGGTCGTCTACTTTTGTGCGTCCCGTTTTTACACTAGACGACTTTAACGTCTCAGACGTTAAATGCGTCTAGACGACTTTAACGTTTCTAGCATAAAAACGGCCAATGTAAGTTGTTTCTATCTTGTTTTATTTACAGTTCTTTCATGTTGGAGTTGAAGCAGCAGGTGTTATCTGGTACAACTAGCGAATCCACTGACACGCAAACCTCGGTTTTGTTTCTACTATCAGCTCTACAAGGTTTGTTTACACTTCTAGTAAACTTTCTTTCTAATTTCGTCAATTTTGCGTTAAACGTAAGACGCAAGTCTTGTCGTTATAACCAACAAAGCAAAAGGTTTCATGAACAAAAGAGCACCTCTGTACGTGCATCACGCTTTTTGGTACAGTTGTTTTTCTTTAAGTCACTGCACGAGAACGTGAAAGCCTGCAATGTGAGTTTTCCTGATTTCAGCTTTAATCGTGGTCGTAAACCGACGATTTCCTCTTAAATTCGTTTCTCTCCGTTTATTTTTTTTCCTGACGTTGGATTTACCCCCGAAAAAGTCATTTGCATTTGACCGATTGAAAAATGGAATAACAACGATGAGGTTTGAAATAGCGAAAGCCCATTTTATCAGTGACAATTTCGCCGCTGTTGCAGCCGTGGTTACGTGTTTTTTGTTTTGTTTTGTTTTGTTTTGTTTTTTTGTAAAGTAGTTTTGTGGTTGTCATTATCATGAGAATTTTTGCTGATAGATTGTTTGTTCCCGAGCTTTAGCTCTTGCTTAAGGTCTCGGTATGTTTAGGTTTGAAGATCAAGGTTTATTTCCTTTCTAATGGGTGTGTCCACATAAGTGTCATTTATCTTTAAGGTTTAATTACGTTTGATTGTCAGTCTTTGAGGTGGGTTCGTTTTAGGACGATAGCTGACCTTGATTGTTACCTATACATCGGAGTTCCTGTTTGGGTTTAAAGTAGAGCCTCGTGGGTTTAGTTTTCAAGCTTTTATTGGCTTCCTAGTTCTTGAATTGTTCAATCTTACTATGAGTTTTTGTGATCAACAGAAAGTGCTCATAAGTAACTAGGAAGGGCGTTCGTAACTCTCATGGTCAGCAAGCCTGAACGTACCTTCGTTTTACTTATATAAGTTGCCAGTACTTGGTACACTCAGATTACTGTTAGTTGTGGAGCTGTACTAGTTGGTGTAGCTGACGGACACTAAAAGAAGAAAAACACCCAAGTTTTGTTAAGAGTCCTGGTATCTTCTTGCTAGCGAGCTTACCCCGTCACACAACTCCCTTACATTTTTTCCACACCTGAAACTTTCATTCCCGAGGAATCATCAAACCGCTCGAGACTGTCACCACATCCATCCGATGATCCATCTTGGTGGAAGATATTGTCTTTCCACAACTTCTGGGACGTTAGCTTTATGTACCAGTGGCGTGTTTGGTGTTTCTACGATGGCGGTGTACAATTTTCCATGTGATGTCAGCTTTGTTGGTATGAAGGCTAGCGTCGCCACTTGTCCTGAGCGTCTTGTGGTGTCACTGCCTTTGTTGTCAACTTCCACGATTACTTATGTTCAGTGGGACACTAGTTCAGTAGACTTAATTCCATTACAGTTTCATCACGAATCTCTAACTATCCATCCTCCTGTTGAAATTAACCGCCCCTCGATTATTAACGGAACCTCGCGCCACAACCGCCTTTATACATTGTTTTAAGTTCCTCAGCGTGGGCTTTAAAGCAATCTATGCAAATTAAATGGTCTCAAGGAAGCACAGCCTAATCAAATATCACCGATGCCTTCATTTTGTAGCACTTAATGATAGCCTGACAACTTTAAGGAAAACAACACCTCCAAGAACTGGTTTTCCCGAAACGAAAGACAATAATTTAGTGGAAAAGTACAATGAAATATTTCGGATAGAACACGCTCGCTCACCATGAAATGACATCAATCTGAATAAAGTCAACGACGTTGTCGACCCCCCAAATCAAACTACGATCAACTCCAGAAAACAAACCTATGGACAGGTCAATTGACTGCCACGAGACAGAGGGTATTTGCCGTGGGAAACAACTATCATTTTGATGCTTCACGATACAAAAAGTCCGCTAACTGCAGCTAACTGAATAGAACCAACCTTGTCTAAGAATTTTGAAAAATTAATTGAAAGTAATATGATTATGTAATGCATCATTAAACTGCGCCAATATTTAGCAAAGTTCAGTTCATTGATCAAGACAGAGTTCCAAAAGAGTTCTCAGCGTTGTGTTGTTGCAGCCTTCTATTCTGGAGGCACACTTTTTGCTGACTTCAGACGGCGATCTTTCCTTTCTGGCTTTGCACAATGATTCCAGGCTCTATGGTGACTGTTAGAAGGAACACGGGTTCTGTTAGTGGCTGTTGAGGGCTGCTGAAGGATCGGCGGACAGAATATCTGAATACACAGCGACAAAGAATACAGAACACGATGAAATTTGTTCCAGAAATGCCAAGGGCGATGAAAGCAATATACTAGACGTACGAAGACTGAAACGTTTCCTCAATCTGATCAGTGAGACTATCTGCCTTTCGCCTTTCGGTACTAAGCTGATTATCGTAGAGTTGAAACTTTTCTGCGAGGTTATTAATCAATTACAAAAAATGTAAGGGAGTCCTGTTACAGAGTTAGCTCGCTAGCAACAGGATACCAGGGGTACTTACCATTTACCTGGGAAAACCGGAAATTCCGGTTGGAAAATTAAATGGCTCTCGCCACTCCGTTTGGGGAGCTTATTAATCAATAACAAAAAATGTTAGGGAGTTCTGTGGCAGGGTTAGCTCGCTAGCAACAGGACACCAGGGGTACTTACCATTTATCTGGGAAAACCGGAAATTCCGGTTGGAAAATTAAATGGTTCTCGCCACTCCGTTTGGGGAGCTTCTGAAAATATGGGCTGTGAATTGAGGCTATGCTATTCGTTTCTACCCGTTTTAGTCAGTTCAACCACTTTGGGTCTTCTTCGTAACGGTTCATTCCCCCACTAAGTCAAATTCAATATTTTTTTGTGTTCATGCACAAGATTTCCACCCGGGTGGTTTGTGTAAGTAAGAAGCACCCCAGGACTCTTAACAAAGCTTGGATCTTTTTCTTCTTTTAATGTCCGTCAGCTACACCAACTACTACAGCTCAACAACTAACAGTAATCTGTGTCAAATACTGGCAACTTATTTAGGTAAAACGTAGGTTCATTCTGGCTTGCTGATCATGAGAGTTACAAACGCCCTTCCTAGTGACTTATGCGAACTTCCTGTTGATCACAAAAGTGGGTCAGAACAAACTCATAAGACTAAACAATTCAAGAGCTAGGAAACCAAAACACTTGAGGCTCTACCTTAAATCCAAACAGGAACTCTAATGTAGGTGACAATCAAGGTCAGCTATCGTCCCAAAACGAACCCACTCCAAAGGCTGACAATCAAACGTAATTAAACCTCAAGATAAATGACCCTTTTGTCGACAAACCCATAAGAAAGGTAATAACACTCAAAATGGATTATATGGATTAACCTTGATCATCAAGCCTAAACATAGCGAAACTAGAAGAACTTCAACCACTCGTCTGACGTTACATATGTGTAACGGATGTGTTTATACGGGTAACTGAAAAATTGGGTTTATGGAATCCGGAATTTTGGGTTTTGGAATCTGGAATACAGCTCAAGGAATCCGGAATCCCACTAACGATTGGTATCCAGAATCCAAGTTCCACTGACAAATACTGGAATCCAGTACCTCGAATCCGGAACCCACGGCGTGGAATCCAGAATCCAGGACTGTCTTGGATTCCCGTTACATGGGGCGATTTATAAACTCTAACTTAATATCTTTTTCCAGTGTCAGTTCAGTGTGACTATTCTATGTACTTTAAGGCAGTTAATAGCTATTGCACACAGGCTCCTTAAGAATTTTTCTCCTCATTTCTTATCTGATCTCAAAGCAACCTCGAGTTAACACTTTAAAAGTGTCTTGTTAACATTTCTGTATCCTGGTTACATTCTTTCCTGTTTCATAGGAACTGCTGATACAAGTACAATAAAGGCTTGCGCTCTTCACATCAATGACAAATTGACGGCATTAAAAGAGAAAAACAGCTCTGATTTAAGGTTTGTATTAGTATGTAGGTTCATAGATGGTTGAATCGGCAGTCTCGGCATTGTGAAAATCGTGGTTTTGAAATTGCGTCCGGCAATAAAAAATAAAATAACACTTTGTGTGTCAGTGTATTTAGCACGAAAGTACTAATTGAGGACACTATTTTTACGTCTCCAACTGGACACAGGACCCCCATTTTACGTGGTTATCCGAGCGACACGAAGCTCTAACCGCTTGCAGTGCAAAAGGAGTACCTTCATTTCTCAGATACTTTAAGACCGTTCTTAGTATTGGTGCAACCGCGGAAATCGATCCCGCAACATCGCGCTCTACAGTCGAACGCTCCACTAAGGGCGGGGTGGGGGACCCCAGGTAGGTGGACTAACCCGCCTGTCCATATAATCACTCATTTCAATTTGATCACGTTTACATGATAGGTGGGGTGACCCGCCACATGTTACCTCACCTATCTGGGGTGCCCCACCTCAATGTAAACACGCCCTAAGCTAATCCTGCTGAGGTTTAAAATATATGATATTTTCGCCTTTGGCAAATTCAAAGAAGGGTAAATGAATTGATTTTTCAGGATCGATCTTTACTCTTAAGGCCACTTGAAGTTAAGGCTACTCCGTCGCGCGAATCTAATTTTGTTGCATTTCATCGTCTTTAATGTTAAATGAAGTACATGTAGTATTACTTTTCCCTTTACAGCCAGGAGGTTGAAGATGCTAGATTGGCCGCTCAGAGCTTACTCTCCAAGTTGCAAGTTGTGTCTTGAGATATGCTGACCAAGCGACCATAGATGTTTTAGCTGAAGGAAGTCATAAGAAGCGTTCCTTAAGTTGTTTTTAAACAAAACCTCTTAATCTATCCAACCGACTATTCCCACATGCCACTCAACGCAATGAAACGAGATTGAGGCTTAAATGAACAATTGCATTCACCACTTCTACATTTCCCATAATGTACCTTACTTCCCCCCAAAAATTTTGCATAAGCATTGTTTTTAATTTCTCTTGGGACGGCTGTAATATCCGGGAGAAACGAAAAACAAAGGTTTACGCAACATTTGGGGGGACAAATAAGGTGCATTATGGGAAATGTGGAAGTGGCGTATACAAAACAGTGTATGTGGTCAACTCAAGCCTCGAGTTGGTGCCTGTGGGTTTGTTAGGTTATGCTTATGTTACCTTGTTGAATAGTACAAGCATAGCCCCGTCTGAAACATCAACACTGTGATTGTGAAAGAGGACGTTGTCCTAAATATAGCTGGTCCGTGAAAGATTGTCATTACAAGGCGTAACTTGGCATTGCCGAACAGTAGTTGTGAGTATTGGGATAAAAGACCATGGTCGAAGGTGGAGGACTGTAAAAAGTTATGCCAATTCATGTTTCGGCATTGTCGCCTACGCATTTACGCTATGATATGACAGCCTTTTTTGTGTTAGCTGTGTCTTGTATGCTTGTCAAGGATTTAAGGTCCACTAAGCTACCTGACTTCTTATGGAAGTCAACCTCAAAACCAGTGATGTGTTTTAAGCCAGTGATGATGAGACTGAATATTTTCATTTAGTGATGTAAACCCAGGCACCAAACAGTAGTTACGAACGTTACAACGGATGAATGTTTATATTTTAAACGAATGTTTCCTTTGTGATTAAAACTATGAGATAGAAGTGTCGGCAAATGTCTGTTAAGAGTGTTTTTCATCTCAATGCTAAATGTAGCCTCCCACGCAGGTGTTCTTTAGGGGAGCTCGTTTTTCGAGCTCCCCTAAAAACGCCTGCATGGGAGGCTATGCTAAGTGCTGACAATAAAAAATTCCATCTGTTTTGGTTATTATTGATGAGTTTGTCTACGTGGCTTGTAAAGTGGCTTACAACCAGGAAGCTTTCCATTTCGAGTGGCAGCAAAGCGAGCCGCGAAAGAACAAGTGAGGAACGACAAAGCCACTAGTATTGCGTCTCCTTTCGCTTGCTACTCGCTTGTCTTCCCGCGATATCATCTAAAGAGGTATACGCCCTAACAGCATTGTGGGTTCTTTTGACTTTCGTAAGACTTGGAACAGTGAGTGAAATGGCTAGGAGATGGGGCCAACGGTTTTTTCTTCCGAGAAGACTACAATGTCTATTCATTTGTAGCTGTCGGAACAAAGACAGTACATCCTCCTCAGTTAATAGAAGACCCTGATTATTGAAGCCTCCCGTTCGGCAGACTCGCGCTTATCCAGTTAAGCTAACTTTACGACAGTTGCCCATAGAATGACGAAAATATCCGAGTGGGAATACTGTAGTAGAATATGGTTTTAAGAAGACCCTTCACCCATCCACTCCCCCCTCCCCCACCCCCGAAAGTTTTAATGGGGCGGGCAAAACCTCCTCTCACTTCCGGTGTTGAAAGGGATTTTATGAAAAGGAAGGAGTAGACGTCGTAGTTTCCATGGTGCCACTGCTATTGCATGTAAATAGCCAATGAGAATAAACAGAATTTGTGCTAGCCTACCATATACTATGCGCGCGAGACAATATGCATGAGGCAAGCCGAAATGCGTCCTGGGATCGTTGCTGGGGACGTGCCGGTCAGCTATTGGCCAATTTTTTTTTTTACTCGGCCCAGTACCTTTCATGCGCATACTATGCAAGCTAAAGCCTGGTTTTCACTAGCGTATAAACATAAGCGTAAGGACACGCACGCGCAGAGTGGCAAATTTGACTCAATTCTCGATACCAGCTCTCCTCAACCCAATGATAAACAAGATGGCGGACGAAGCGTCCGCCATACTGCTTTTCATATGTTTGCATGAGGTCTGGGTCAAAGTGACTTATGATTGGTCCTCGGCTTTGTGCTTATGCTTGTGCTTATGTCGACCCAGTTTTCACTAGTCAAAGCTACGACATCAGCATAAGTGAAAGAAGAACGAACTCGGCCGTTTTTCTTGTGCTTATACTTATGCTTATGTCGACCCAGTTTTCATTTGCTTTACAGATGTGCTTGTGCTTATGCTTACACGCTAGAGAAAACCAGGCTTAAACGTTATTTTAATTTGATTGCAACCTTGGTGAGGCATAAAACAAATCATAAGATCTCTATGGAGTGTTGAGCACAAAGAAAGCGGCAAAGCCGTTGAAACTTAAAATTCATTAGAATTTTAAAACAATGATTCCAAACAACTCTCCTTGATTTGTTTATAACTAGCTAGGCATTTTATTTTTAGTAAAATCGCCGGAGGGGAATGTATTGTTCTTTTGTGGATCTGATCCGTTGCAGTCAGCTGCAGTCCGATGCGCCATTGTTAACTTTCAACCGTCGAACGTCTGCTCTTATGCAATCTTTTTCATATCTAATGTCAACTTCGCAAAAATTGCACTTGAAAAGCTGAGTGTCACATGTAGATATGTAGAGTATCTATAATCTCCGTAATGTGCTCAATGGATGTTAAATAAAATATGACAGGTCATGCTTTCATGAGCAGCATATTTTACATACTTAAGAAATCCGTCAAAACATGTCAGGGAAAACTCATTGATTGGCTAGTGAATATAAACTTTAGGTTTGGTCACAGGACAAACCTTCATGGTTCTTTGCCAACAAAGCCAACGGCTCCGTGTCCAAAGTATTCCGACACTTCAGTTTGTAGCTTTCAAATCGTCAGCTTTCCATGGATATAAAAACCTTGCTGGATAATCTTCATGATCAAGTAAGCTGTTCTGCGTGCTTGAGCACTTTCACCGATCCAAGGCAGTTGCCTTGCTTGCACAGTTTCTGTCTTCACTGCCTGAATGAACTTGCAAGTATAAGTGACTTCAACGGCCCTTTTTTAACATGTCCAGAGTGCCGCAAACGTTTTACGATCCCTGGAAGTGGAAATCCCAGCGAATTTCCCAGCAATTTTCGCATTAACAGTTTGCTAGATGTCTTGGCAATCAAAGAGTGGAAAACCACCAGAGTGAAATGCGGAAACTGCGACAAACTGAGTGCCCAGACATCATATTGCTTCCACTGCTGTTCTTTCTGGTGCAATGAATGCATTTCAGCACATAACATTATACGAGCCAACAAAGAACACAGAACACTAGCGATAAACGATTTTCAAGATCAAGACATCGAGGACTTGTTAAGGCGACCAGCATTTTGCCAGAAGAGACACCATGAAAAGGAAGTATTGAGGTTCTATTGCAAAGACTGTAAAGTCGCTGTTTGCAACACTTGTGTTGTAACACTTCATGATGGTCACGACAAAATGCTTTTACAAGAAGCTACAGATGCCCGCAGGTCGCAGATCAACTCCACAATTGCATCCTTAAAGGAAAAGGTACTGGAAGAACGAAAGGAAGTCGAAAAATACAACCAGAAGATCATCGAAATTCAAATGCAAGTGGCCGACGTGGAAAGCCAAGTGGAGAAGAATGTAGACCAAATAATCGGAATCGTTAACGCTAAGAAACAGAAAATTTTGGATGCTGTCGATAGTCAAGCGCGAAAATCGCTGGAGTTTCTCACATTGAAGAAAGAAAAAGCTCAAAATAAAGTGAGATTAGTTGAAATAGCAACTGATCAAACTGAATCACTAATGAAACGAGGCTCGAGTGTAGAAATCCTGGGATTCAATGAGACATTTGATACAATCCTTCAGAGACAGAGTACCGAAGAAAGTGTTGACTCTGAAGGCATTTCTCGCTTTAAATTTACTGAAAGTAAAAAATTGATAAGCTTATTGAACAGTGAGGGGATAGGTAGCGTAAAAACTGTTTTGTTCGAAGTCTATAAAGATCAACAATTAGAAACTAAATGTAACGAAAGTAGTGAAGCAAGTGGTGGGATGGAAAGAGCAAATGTTCGTGGCAGTCCTTTTGAGCCGGTTCAGAAACAAACCAGGCGTTTCAAATCCGTGCTTTCGTTTGTTGAGGTGCTTTCCGAGCCTTGGGGAGTGGCAGTGAATAGTCGTGATGAAATTGCTGTGAGTGAGCACGGGAACTGCAGGATCTCATTATTTAGCCGTGACGGTACTTACTTAAGATCGTTTGGTAAAAGGGGTAAGAATAACGGTGAGTTTAGTTCCCCTTACGGAATAATATTTGACAGAAATCACAATATTTTAGTGGCAGACTGCCATAACTCAAGGGTACAAGTCTTTGATCGGAATGGTAACTTTTTGCGAAAGTTTGGTGAACGAGGTCGTCTTGATCACCAACTTGACAAACCAGTAGGCTTATCAATAGACGACAACGATGATATTATTGTTACTGACCAAGGCTACTTGAACAGTGTAATCAAAATATTCTCTCCTAATGGAAAATATTTACGTAAATTTGGCGGCGAAGGAGGTTCCTTGACACAGCCCTATCATTGTATCCAAAACGGTCAATATTTTATAGTCTCAGACACTTGTTCTATTAAAATGTTTAATCTTGATGGAAAATTTATTTATACATTTGGAAAGAAGGGGGTAAATGACGGAGAATTGAATAAGCCCCGGTACCTGTCAGTTAACAAAGACGGATTGCTAATTGTCTGCGATTCATACAATCACAGAGTTCAGGTGTTTGAACTGCCGAGTGGAAAGTTTGTTACAAAGTTTGGATGCAAAGGTAGCAAGAGAGGAGAGTTTCGTACTCCAACTGCTACCGCCAATCTTAGTGATGGGAGGATAGTTTTGTGTGACAAGCTGAACAATCGAATCCAGATATTTGACCAAATGTGATATGACTCGCTCTTGCCTTTACTATGCAAAAGTATGAACTACTTATTCGCATTTGTGACAAAACAAACAAAAGAAAACGTTTTTTATTAACTTTGCATGAATAGTAGGTTCCATTGATTGTAGTTTTCCGTTAGCTGACCTTATAACTGTAATAAGTTGTAAATGTAATTATCTCAATAACATATTTTAATTTCTACATAGATTTTTAATGTTTTGAATTGAATATAATGTAATTTTGTATGATTCCAGACTTTTTTTTTTTTTTTATGAGTGGTTCGTGCACATCAAACAACCGTGAAATAGTTTTCTTCAGGCTATAATCAAAGTCATGTAATTCTTTTGTCTTTGTAAACAAAGGTGTAATTGTCGGTGATCTGGCGATTACTAAATAATGTAGCTCAACAGTCTGTCAATGTATGGTAATGGTGCAAAGAATGGTTAAAAGTGCGCCAACATTTTGCCTTCTGAAGATATCAATTTGCGGAGGGTTAAATTGATTAAAATTAGGCCCGGGGGGTTTAATGGCACTTGCGCCTTGAAGTAAGTGTCTTGCCACTTTTGCCCAGGCTTTTGCCAATACCATGTGCAAATGCAAGACCAGCTAAAACGTGAGCACCACGTCGCCCCATGTAATGGAATCTTGGATTCTGGATTCCAAGCCGTGGATTCCGGATTCCAGGTACTGGATACCAGTCTTCGACAGTGGAACTCGGATTATGGATTCCTATCGTTCGAGGGATTCTGGATTCCTTGAGCTGTATTCCGAAATAAGGCCCAGGATTTCAGATTCCATAAGCAAACGTTTCACGTAATCCGGATTCCACGAGCAAAAATTTCCCGGTTCCAGCACCGCATTCCCTTACAAGTGGCAAACCACGCTTTTTGAAGATTCCTTGAAGAATATTGGTAACCCCATCGTAGTGCGAAGTTTTCCTCATACCGGAGATGTTGCCGTACGTACGGGCAGACTGTTTCGGAGCAGGAGACAGCGTAAGGACATGCAGAAGCAAAAGGCCATCAAAATGTGTCGAAGGGTGATTGAGATGTGTGACAGTTGTAACTTGAGCTGATAAGGATTAGACGCGATCAAGAGAGAATATTAATGGAACAGTGAGGGAAACGTCCAGTATAGCCCTTGTGATATGTGAATTTCACCAAAGTTGTTTTTAGACCACTTCTGGTTTTCAGTCTCACGCCATCCAAAACCATTCGACAGATAAATTCCAGAATCTGGTAAATGAAAGGAGGTAAATATACAAAGACCCTCCCCAACATTTGGGTCGAAGGAGTAAATCGTATACGAGATACCCGAGGAAGTGTTTTACCCAAATTTATAGAGCGTTGTATGGAGACGCCATGCTGGAGCTCATACGGATGAGCTCCAACATGGCGGACGGAAACCAACAGAAACATCTGTTACCGAGCCTTGCTACAAAAGCGTGAATTAGAGGAGGAACCCATAAACATTAAAGTAATACTTTTTCTAACACTCGAACTGATTAGATAGCAAAATTCTTCGAAAAAAGCCACCTTTTTAACCTAAATGACAGCTCTCTCGGCCGTCATGAGTATGCTGCGTCACGCAAAAGCTTAGAAATTCAAGCGTACTTTATTGCAAAACGAAGAACCATTTGGAAGCGAAAATTTGTTATTAAATTAGTTTTCAGCTGCTCTAATACACCATGAAAGTAAAATCTCAGTAGGATCGATAGTTTTGTAGTTTGAATTTTAGTGACGTCACGTGAAGACCAACAATAAACGCTTGAAATTAATTAACGTTTGTTTCAGGAGGGGTCCGCAAATTTTTATTCACTGTTTTCAACAGAGAATTTAATAAATGCCATAACAATATACTTCATTGCTTGCTTTGAGGCAGTCGCGCAAAACAATCGATTAAATTGTACAGACGTCTCAGGAATTTTACGCTTAACTACAACCTCTAAAAATATCTGTAGTGAAATTCGCACATATTTTTTTAATGAGTGGTTCGTGCACATCAAACAACAGTGAAATTGTTTTCGTTCTACAGGGGCACCCAACGGGAAATTTTGAGAAAAAGACCTAAAAACAACAACAAAGCGTGATAAAGTTTTCTGAGAATATTTTAAGCATTTTGGGAGATTGCTGGAAAAAAATTATCTGTTTCTCACTCCCAGCAAGACTGATGGAAGAGTTCCCAGCCAGCAACCTTACAACCTGCAACCTGACTTACTGGGAAGTTTTATAGGGCGCAATTCAGATCTTGAGTGGTAAGTAACCCATACAAGTAACCCGTAGCAGCTACTCTAGACTTCAAATCCCCTCTGACACCCTGAATTATCTTTTTCCCAGCAACACTTTCCTTCCAAGGGCTATTATTTCTTCCACATCTCCCAGCCAGCAAAAATGTGCCTGAAGAACAGATATTTTGAGGAACAGATCCATTGGGTGCCCCTGTTTCTACGGCCCTGATGCTTGTGTTGATCGGAGTGTGTTGTTTCCTGCACACATTACACTTAAGAAAACCTGATTTCAGCCAATGAAAAAGAGTGTTGAGAAAGGGTAATTCTATTATTCTGACTCACAAATACTGAACTTCACGAATGGGTCCCCTTGTTTGATGTGAGTAGTGAAATGTGAGAATGAAATGAACAAACGTATCTCCTCATATCGGTGCTGCTATACTCTTAGAGTAGAACGAGGGTAGGAAGAAAGACACTCTTGCTCAAAGCCCTCAGTATGTTAAGGTTGGCTACTACTGGAGGTAGGCGATTCCTCAGTTAACCTCGTTCCCGGCCAGGTCTTTTTGAGTGGCCCACGGGCACTTATTCGAGGTGGGTGCTTATTAAATTTTCACCATTGTCATTAAAACAAAAACATGACAAGAGGCGAAGATGAAACAAAGTAGAATTTTTATTATTAATTGAAATTTTCTTGTAAATGCTAAAACAACAATTTCAATCTCATTGTCAGTAAAAACGTTAATCATTGATTTTTCTGGCGCTGCCTCCTCGATGTCAGACAGCGTAACGTCTTCAGATGGGTCTTTGACTGTCCACAATGAATTTAGAGATTAGAGACTGTAAGACGGCACAGGGATGATAATCAATATTTTTTTTTACATTAGCTTGGATTCCTTTGTTCTTTTCGGGGGGAATATATTACATAACCCCCGAATCAACTGTCTGAAAAGCTGGGTGCGGCTTTGATTGTTTGAAGGGAAGAGCGGGGCTAATGAACAGCTAATTGAAATGCGAGGGGATTATATGTATTAATATGCAAGGGGATAAGTCACTTATCCCCCTTGCATATTAATACATAATCCCCTAACATTTTAATTAGCTTTTCATAAAGAAAAAAATTAACAAATTTTTATTGGAAATGTTAAACACGGCACTATAATTACTAAAATTAAAGTGAGCTGCGTCTCTTTTGCGCCACATTCACGGATATTCTTAGTTGTTGGTTCATCGATTTCCACAGCCAGAACGACAGTCCGAAATTGTCATGTAGTTGACCTCTTTGTGTTTTGTGGTATTCTTGCTTCATTCCTCGACTGAATTTCTTTGTAGTGATCACTCGCCCGGAATCTTCTTTGTCTGTAAACATGCAGGTCGGTTGTAACATCGTCGGTACGATAATTGAAATTGTCAACTGCTTGACAGTTGTCTGCACCCGCAAATGAAGATTCAAAATTGTTTTCCCAAAGCTCAATTGCAGTACCCCCACCGAAGCTGCTTTAGTTTGAGTAATAAACGGCTCTACTTCTGACTCTGAATCGCTCGACACTGCTAGGCTCTTTAGGCTGTTTCTAGCATTCACTGCGAACAACTAATTTGAAATGCGACTTTGAAAAACTAACAAAAAAAGCCAAGGAACTTGTCAATGCCACCAGTGCCAGCATGGAGCGTTAAAAAAACAAAAGAAAGATGAACAACAGAGGCATTTTTCGTCAATGCACTTTTGCATCCCTTGAGGAATCCTGGCCAATGTAAAAATAAGCCGTTTATCCTCCTTCAGCTCGTGGTTTATGTGATTTATTCCCCTCGCTTCACGCCGATAACCCTTACATATGTCCGCAACATTCAAGAAAAAAAGGAGAAACTAAGACGCGCTTGATCTCTCCCCAACTTTCGCGCCATTTTACACGATCCCTGCTTGTGATCATCTTGGAGCGTTTTACAGGCTAAGGCTAGGAGATTAACCTTAGCTTTGGAAGTTTTTGGAGTAATTTGGCTTTTTACAAGTTGCTTGTATTGTACAAATGCTGTCAAGAGACTGACGAAACATAAAGCTTTTGTCGAATTATATAAACTTAGTGAACGATAAAAGAAATCAGACTGTGATTGACAGTTGAATATAAAACATACACCCAAGGCGGAGTAACCGGTGAAGCGTATAGTATACTTTGGAATTCATACTGAAAAAAACAAAGATTGGGTTGGAAGAATTCAATTAAGTCTCAAATCAAGACTCCATTGTTCTTTTAGTTTTCAAAGTCAACAAGTCTACTTTGACCGTTGGTTGCATATTTTTTGTCATGGATATAGAGATGGAGTCGAAAAGCAAACTTCGTGATGAAGTTTGCTGTTCTGTGTGCATGTTAACTTTTACTGATCCAAAGCAGTTGCCTTGCTTGCACAGTTTTTGTCTTCACTGCTTGAATGGGCTTGTTAGAACAAGTGACTTTAACGGCCCTTTTTTAACATGTCCGCAATGCAACAAACGGCTTAAGATTCCTGGAAGTGGAAGTCCCAGTGAACTTCCTAGCAATCTTCGCATAAACAGTTTGCTGAATATCTTGGCAATCAAAGAGTGCAAAACCAAAACCGCTGAGGTGAAAGTAAAATGCGAAAACTGCGACAAGCGGAGCGACAAGACCTCATATTGCTTCCAGTGTTCTTCTTTCTGGTGCGAAGAATGCATTATAGGACATAACATTATCCGAGCTAATAAAGAACACAGAACACTGGCGTTAAACGATTTTCAAGATCAAGACGTCGAAGACTTGTTAAGGCGGCCAACATTTTGCCAGGAGGAATACCATGAAAAGGAGGAATCGCAATTCTTTTGCAAGGACTGTGAAGTCGCTATTTGCAACACTTGTGTTTTAACACTTCATGACAACCACAGCAAGATGCTTTTGCAAGAAGCGAAAAATGCCCGTAAGACAAAGATAAACTCTGTGATTAAATCTTTAAAAGAAACAGCACAGGATGGCCGTAGGGAGGCAGAAAAATTTGACCTGAAGAGCGCCGAAATTCAAATGAAAGTAGCTGACGTGAAAGGCAAAGTACAGACGAAAGTGGACCAAATTATCGCGACCATCGAAGCGAGGAAACAGGATATTTTGAACGCAGTCCGAAGCCAAGCGAGCATATCATTGGAACCTCTCACAAAGGAAAAAGCCGAAGTTGAAAATCGAGTGAAGACATTGGATTCAGCAATTGAACAAACTGAATTTTTAATGAAACAAAACTTCAGCACCGAAATCCTAGGATTCAATGAAACATTTCATACAATTCTTAATGAAGACAACACACAGGCAAACAGTGACTCTGAATTTATACCTCTGTTAAGTTTCAGCAAAAATGAAAACTTGATAAGCGTGTTGAACAGCGAGGGGATAGGTGATTTAAAAACCGTTTTAGCAAAACTGAATCGCACTTTCAGGCCTTTGTTATCCTTTGGACAAAAAGGTAAGTCTGTTGGAATGCTTCACTTTCCCTGGGGGGTGGCAGTGAATAATCATGATGAAATTGCTGTAAGTGAGTGTGGTAACCGCAGAATTACAATATTTAGTAGTGAGGGCACCTACTTGAGTTCTTTTGGCAGAAGGGGGAAGAGTAATGGTATGTTTATAGTCCCATCAGGGATCGCTTTTGATCGCGATAACAATATTTTAGTAGTGGACAGTTTTAATCATAGGGTGCAAGTTTTTGATAGGAATGGTAACTTTTTAAGGAAGTTTGGTGAAGAAGAAAGTCTTGATCACCAACTTAAACACCCTAACGGTTTATCAATAAACGGCAACGGTGATTTAATTGTTTCTGACAGCGGCAACAAATTCATCAAGATATTTTCTCCCAATGGGAAATTTTTGCGTAAATTTTGCGGAGCACGTAGTTTGCTCACGCCCTTTCACTGTATTCAACTCGGTCAATTTTTTATATTCTCAGACTGGAGTGATCATTCCTTTAAAATGTTTGATCTTGAAGGAAATTGTATTTCTAAATATGGAAATCAGAGAAAAGGGGACGGAGAGTTCTTCGACCCTCGTCACTTTTCAGTGGACAAAGAAGGATTGTTAATGATCTGTGATGGATGTAGTCACAGAGTTCAAGTATTTGAACTGAATGGAAAGTTTGTTACAAAGTTTGGGAGCAAAGGTAGCGAGAGAGGAGAGTTTAAGTTTCCAAATTCTACTGCAAATTTGAGTGATGGAAGGGTAGTTGTATGTGACTCATGGAACCACCGAATACAGATATTTGACAAGATATGATGGTATTAGGGCGAGTTTACCCATAAAAGATGTAGCCGTAATACCAATTAAGTTCAAAAATTAAAAGAGCTGGGTTTTTTTATGCAGTTTGTACAAGTTTCAGACCTTTGCAATCAGAAACAAAGGAAATAGCAGCAATTAAAAACTGCAAAATTATTGAGTGGCAAAAAAAGGCGTTAATGAGCTCATACATTCTTTGTAAATTTGAGGGTTTTTCAAAGAGAATTTCTTCGAAACTATTTATTTGGCATATATCGCTAAAATTTTCAGAGATAACTGAAATGGGTACTATGCTCTTTCAATATTCAGAAATGTTACTTTATTAGCTTCATTAGATAATGATAAGCCTGTGCTACTTTGAGGCAAAAAATGTAAACAAGGATTCGCCTATATGATTGAGGTTAACTTCTAGATATGAAAAAACAAATTCTATAACTTAATCTAGGGTAAGAAAATTGTTCGAACAAAGAGTCTGGCAATATAACACTTTGTTATTGATGTCATCAAAGGTTGCCCCTCGTAAACAGTTTTCTGCAATATAAAGAAAGCAACTGTTACAGCTTTACTGTAAATAGAATTATTGCAATTGCTAAATGAAATGGCCTTCAGTTGGTAATTTATATCCTCTGTTAAGTTTCTCAATCCGTTTTCTTTTGTTTCAATCTCGTTATCGTGCATTTAAATGTTGTAAAGTACGTATTTGGAAAGTTATTTTTAATATTTGTCACATCTTTTAAGTTTCTGTTTTGTTTCATTATAGAATCGGTAAAGGTTAGTCTTGATTTTTGTCTCAGTCATAGGTATATGTATTTTCCTGTTTTGATCTCAGTTTGATCTACTTTCATCGAGTTTTTGTTTAGCTTGCGAATTTCGTTGCTTGCCATTGACAGATGTTAGTTTTCATAGGTGGTCGTGTTTGTGATGTTAGAGCTGACCTTGGTTCGCCTTTAAGTTCCTGTTTGGGTTTATTAACTGCATCGTTTTTGTTTTTCATTGGTTTATTTATACCTTCTTGCTGATAGCAGCCATGTAGGTTAAGCAATACCAAAACATTACCCACACCGAGTTTACCTTGTTTTTTTTTCCCACGGTCAACTAATCCAAACATGTCCAGCTTTGGTTATGAAAACGTTTACTATTTGACTTGTTAGTTAGAGAACAGGAGTAAGGGAAATAGAGAATAAGAGTAACAAAATTAAGAGTATAATAGCACTTTTAGCAGAAGCTAAAGAAGAATAAAGACCAAGATGTAAATCAGATTCCTGGTTCCTTATCGTGTATAGCCTGTGAGAAATCTATCCGGGGCGCTCTGGCGGCGGGGCGGGAAAATGAAGGAGAGCTTGCAACTACGTCTCTGAAAGTGAATTCTACCTCCGTCAACTGAGCTGTCAGATTTCTACCAATCAGCGTGAAACGGAAAAGAGTGCGAAAGTAAAAAAAAAAACGTTGAGAAAGGGGTAATGACGTCATTAATAATGTCACCTCCGCCTATAAGTATATCGAATGGACTTTTTCGATGCAGATCAGTTCAAATTCCAGAGACGTAGTTGCAAGCTCTCCTTCCTTTTGCAGGCTATATCGTAGGCTACATCGTGTAGCGAGCGAGTCACAAGAACACACCTCCACAATTAGATATATAGCGTCTTCTTAAATGCCTTAACAGTTATTCAGTAGCGGAGAATGTAGTTAAATTTGCACTTCTGTGCAAGATTGAATTCTAATTAATTAAGTCAGAGTAAGTTGGAAACGTTATTTCCTTATACACTTCCTCAACAGTAACACTTTTTCTTTCTCTTGCGTGTAAGTGTAATTAGTCAAAATACATTAACTAATTAGTGTACCAAACCAGGTTCGACGCTGAAATAAAAGATAATCTAATAGAAACAGTAATATTTTTTGTTGTTGTTTTTTTTTGCCAGATCGTCATATCCTTCATTGTCGCAGTCTTCAGAAAAAAAATGGCGTTATAATGGCGCAATACATTAATTTTTTTTGTCTCGCGCGCCCGATTTTTCAAATAACTTTTGTTATAACATAACAAAAGTAAAGCGCACGCTCTTATTGAGGAGTACGGCGAAAGCTAGCTCGCGCTCAAAGAACTACGCGTCACTTTCTAAGGGAGTGTTTTTATGAGGGAAGAAATGGAAATTTTTTCGGTCAATTTTACATGCTTTGTTACCTTGTCTCCGGCGTCTTTTGCTGAATTGATATCATTCTGATATAGTTTGAATTATCCCCCAATCTGCACAAGTAAGCGGGCAAAGTTGTTCTAGACAATTAAAACTAATGACGTCACAAGCGATCGAAGGGAAGTGGATCCGCGCAGGTGGTTACGGACAGCTTAGGGGCGAATGGGTTAAGTTGGCTGACGCGCGCTAAGGTAAACGAAACTTTCGGCATTAACAGAGGATATGGCGGCAATGTACGAGAAATTTACCGACCCTACCCCTCACAGTTTTGTGACGTTTAGTAGCACTACCAAATTAGGACTAGGACTACCAAATAAGGCAATGAACAACGCGCGAGTAAGCTAGAACAGGACGAGACAAAAAAAAAAAGGGTGCTAGTTTTCTTTATAGGGTTTTCATCGAGTATTGTGAGATTTATTGTGAGTTCTTTCGGAGAGAATAAACCAGGAAACCGTGTTGTTGTGAGTTCTGTAGGCTGTTTTGTTGTTCAGCTCAGAAATATTTTTAAGCCTGGTATGACTGATTAGAATGGTAAGTGCATTCAGTAAAAGGAAAAGCACTGGGGGAGTCTTCTTACTGCCCCGTCCACACGTAGTATCCAGATATTTTTGAAAACGCGGATATTTTTTCTCCTTTTCCAAATATTACGCATCCACACGTGGCGTATTAAAATCGCTTTTGTCCATACACACGAAAACGTTAAAACGATGCACATGCGATAGCGTCACTTACGGAGCCTGCGTTTAATGATGCATGTCAACATCATTGCATTCGAAAACCACCTTTCTCGTTCTTCCATGCGAAAACAGCAATCCGGCGTTTTCAAAAATCTCCACGTTCAGTGTGCCCAAAAGGGTATTTACGCATGAAGGGAAGGCTAAACGGAGTAAAAAGTATGATTTTTCAAAAATATCAATGTAAGTGTTGACGGGGCCTAAGGAGAAAGAAACTTTTACTTTGAAAAATAAACAGAGCCCTTGTAGAATAGTATATCTCTGTTCTATATCTTACAAGTTAACTTCCCTGCGAATTAGTTCTTTTAACTTCGTTCCAGGGCAATTAACGCGGTTATGTTTCTGTCCAAGCGAATGCTGAGGCGGGGACAAATTCTTCATGAAGGGGTGGGGGAAGATTTCCCTAAGCCCCTCCCTTTTAATTCTGCTCTTGTCTCAACTAGCGCAATTATCCATTTATGATGTCATATCATAACAATTAGAGCCTCATGATGTACTTTCTAATTAACAATTACAACTAGTTGATTTTCTCCTTGTTTTCATGTCCATCTCCCGAGGAGCCAAACATTGCCGTTGTCTTCTTAATCAGCGCTGGTAATGATAAGCTTGATTGGAAAATGGATCTACACAGAAAAAGAAGATACAAACCTGTCTCAGGAATGTTACGTTGGGGAGTTAGAGGATGGTGATTGGCTGCTGGTCGATGTGAAATTGACAAATGACGACGCAGCGTTTTTGAAAGAATGCGTCGTGGTTCCATGTGTTAAGCAAAAGACTCAGGATGGCGAAGAACCGCTGCTGCTCAATGCAGCACGAAAAAGCGTAAACAAATCGAATGTGGAGAAGCGACAAAAGTATTTTCATGGAAAGATGGTTTGTCGCATGTTTCCAAGGAAGATGGTACAACCATATAAGGTTGACCGTTCGTTAAAGTACAAGGAGGATGATCTTACTTCGTGGGATGACGGACGATTTCAACGGTCGAACCACTGGATCGAAACGATGTCGTTTAAAATACCACGGCCACTGTGCAAACCGGGAAAGATTCTACCTGCTCGAGTTAATGTTAAAAGGTGGGAGATTCTGTACTACCGTAAAGTTCTGTAAGTAATGACCCTCGTTATTTTCAGATTTAGCAGCCTTTTCGTATGGCTACTCTTGGGGGGTCGCTACTTTGGGAACTTAACGGTAGTAAGGCCCCGTATTTTTTTATGGATGTTCCGGATAAAAGGGTCATCTGCCTATCCCAGCTACCCTGATCTAGCCATCGTTTCAAGGATTTAACGCCCAACTCTTTTTAAATAAGAAACAAAAAGTTGGCTCAGCTAGGAGGATGGTCCACTTTGCTAAGTCAATGACATCCTTGTTTACGGTAGGGCCAGGGTCGGACCGACTTTTCTCGATCTAACCCCTTTTGCTCGCCCAGCCGGGTCAACTTAGTCAAGGTGAGGCAATCAGGGCATGCACGAGCGCTAGCTGTTTTAGACAATTAGAGCAATGAGAAATGAGTTAATGAACAGACGATAAGCGCTGGAATTTTTTGGAAAGATACTGTTTGAACAAGTGCCATCACACTGACGGAAGGTGACAAAGACACTACACGGCCTAGCCTGACAGCAACCTCTCCTTTTTGAGCGGTGAGCAAAGCGAGCCGCGCGAGGCGCGAGAGCGCGTGAGTTCTCATGCTTGACTACCCCAAACGGAGAGCTTGCTCACATATGGCCAGTCCAGCTGACTACATTTTTCCAGTTAATTTTCAATTCATTTAATTGCCATAACAACTACGACGATTATATGTTTTTATTTAAGAGTGTGTCCATGAGAAGACCAGGCAGAACCAGGCAGGGGGTGATAATGCTCAAATCACCGATTTCGCTCAAACTCGGCACAAATGTTAGGTATCAGGAGTTAACTTATGTGAAAGAATGTCAGGTCCAAATATTAAATTCCCTGGGAGATCCGGGCTCCCCCTGTAAAAATCGCCATTTTGCCCGTTTTATGCATAATTAATTAGCTAACTTTACAATGCCAGTGCAACAAACAGAAAAGCCACCCTGAACTTAAATGCACTGAGAGATGATCTGAGTTCATAAGACTTTAAGCACGTTAAACTGTTTAAAGTCGCCGATTCGATTTCCTCCCTCTTAGCCCCCTTAGGTTGGGTCATCATTTCCAAGTTTTGAGTAAGTCGTAAAATTAGGGTATTTTATTCCCAAATATCTCTGATGAGCAACAGCTTATCTTTATAACTTTTGCATGAGTAGTTAAAGCCATCACTTAAGTTGAGAAAAAGATCATAAAAAGTTTGAGCAATTCACTTTCTTCCATGTGTTGACATAAACTGTTCATGTGACTGAACGACTTTTGCATATTTCATCAAAATTCAGGCCCTCACAATATTCGTGTGTTTGCCTTTGAATGAGGAGAAATCAAACAAAAAAACTCATCAGACAATGATTTAACATTAATAAGGGTAAAATCGTTGAAATTGTTGTGCAAGAAACCCTAACGATGATTTTTGATAGCTATATAAGCGATCTTTTCAACTAAAAACAACATACAAAGATTTAATTCACAGTTTTACTTACGTTAACAATTTCGCCCTAAAAACAATATAAACGGTCAATAAAATCCATATACGTATCTCTTAGATGTTTCAACTGCTAGTTTGTGCACGCTTTGATTTGTTACCCATGCCACCTTCGATGTCCAGTTAAGCGTAGTTCAGCGCCGTGACTCGCTGTACGACTAAAATTCCTTAGCCATCAGTTTACGCACCAAAATCCAAATCAAGTTGTTTTAGGAGAAAACAATACGAAAAGTAGAAAGCCGATTTTTAACCCATTGAAAGAATTATTTCTGCCACTGTTGTAGCTCAATTCACATGTTACAAACGTCCGCCATCTTTGACATTAACTGGAGCCCGCATTTTTAAGCAGCGGTTGCCACCATACGGAAACATTGTATCGGGAGTCAGGAGCCAGGAGCCAGGAGCCAGGATCCAGGAGCGAGAGTCCAGTGAACAAAATTCAGTCGAAAATATGACTTTCCGACATTCTTTGAGATTATTTTATTGTTATTGTATGCTAATAAATAATTTAGAATTCCAAATCTATTGGCAACTTTATTCAGACCATGATAATAAATGATCCCATGTCTTCTCAAACTCGAAGATAGAAGTCGCTTTGTCTTCGTGTTTTGGAAAGAACTATTTATTGTATTTTAGTCGCACGTGAAATAGCAGCGAAGTGAAGTCGGATCTTCGTGCAGACCAGTTCAAAGAGACAAATAAAGCGTGAGACACGTCCAATTTGGCTTGCGACAAGAATACCATTTTTTTTTCATACTGGAGTCCCTTCTCCCCAGGGGAGTGGCCAAATTGCGTACAAATGCCCTACCCTGCTGGCACCAGATTTGACTGTCATAAACACTGAATTTTTTATCTAGCACTGTCGTTTGCGGGTCTTATTAAGCCTAACTGTGGCAGTAATGTTCCCAAGTAGAACTCAAAATACACCACACTTTCACATTGAGTTAGATATTTTTCTCAAACAACCGCTTCCATATGTTTAACACCCTTCCCAAATTGTAATACAGTGGAAGCTCTCGTAAGAGGACACCCTCGGGAAGAGAAAAAAGGCGTCCTTAACTGGAGCTGGCCGCTTACAACAATGAATCTCATACGGTAACTCTGAAACGGATATATAAGAATGATTCATAACAGTGACAAACAGCAATGACTGTGGACATGATAAAAAAAAAAAAACAACAACAACAACAACATTAAGAGGTGGATAAGATTTTCTTTCGAGTGTCTGCTTACGAGAGCTTTAAATCAAAGCTAACATCTAATTCACCGGTAAACCCTTTAAGTGTCCGCGGCCGCCTACGGGAATGTAAAAATCCAGAGTTTGTGTGGAAGTTGAAACGGGATTTTGTGATGGCGGTCGTAAGTAGAGCTATTCGCTATATACGAGAGTGTCCGTTAAGAGAACTTAATCCACTGTATGAATCCGCAAATGACAGCTTAAATGAGAAGTTAATATAGTGTATTAGTCTGTGTTCAAGAAACTGTTCTTTTACACCTTCCTTGAATAGCTAAAGAAGTCTTGTCGACTGTTTTTTGCCGTGTATTAGTGCCTCCTTTTGGGTCTTTTGTATTCCTCAGAAGTTTTTCCTCAACACTTTTATAAACGGTTATTATTATATTTTTGTAGTCAATAATATACCCAGATACAGATACCAACCTGTATAGTTGTAAGACTACGAGGATTAAAATACAAGTAAGTAAGTCAGTATACCCAATGGCAAGTCATTAATTGTCTAAAAATTGCACGGCACGGTCTGACTACGAAAAGGGCTATTATGGACGATTATTATCATGGTAATTAATGTCAACACCGAATAAACTCAAAATTTCAAGTAACACGACTTTCGCAACCTATTTTCAACACACCAGTTATAACAGGATATTGGCGCGTACAAACAATAGGTAGCGTATTCCGCATTCCGGAGTCCGGTAGTCCGGCGTCACAGATTCCATCGTTTTGGCAGAGTCCAAAGTCAAAGATGGAGGGTGTTCGAGCAGGTGGTTGTTTTCCGTAGATATAGACGGATTGTCAGTGATCTTTCTTGTCCTTTGAGAATGATTTTGTTCATTCTGACTACAACTTATTTCAAAGACTTCGAATGTTCGGTGAAAAGCCGACACTTTTAATTTTGCAATGTTTCAAGATGTTTCGATTTCATTACCTCGTCACGAAGTAACGCCACAGAGGACCAGACGAAACTGGAGCAGCAAATCTGAACTAAAGCATCTGAGAGACGTGTATGTAACATTTATTCATTTATATCTTTTATCCTTGTTGGGTCTTGTTTCACCTACAAGTTGGACCGATCGAGGTTTTGAACTAAATCTTTTGCTCCTTGTGTTTACTCAAGCGTTCCATAAAATATCCATCCAAACGTCCATAAATAACACAGAAAACATGCCTCAGGTGACACTTTCTAACAATTCCGCTATTAGTATCGACAATGAGGCATCTGATTTGTGACTTCTCGCCAACTTTGTGCTATTTTTGTTTAGAAAAACGAATGTTACGTTTCCTCGTATTTTGGTCAAATGACAAAAAAGAGTCAAGTCAGATGTACATAATACGTCATTATTGATAAAGTATGAGATTGCCCAAATATTTTATGATTGATTTGATAACCTTAAAGATGTCTTTCAAAGAATATGTGAGAATTAAGTACATAGGTTGTTGCTCATGGGAGATGTTAGCCACTAAAATACCTTAAATTTAGGGTTTGGTCAAAACAGTTAGAAGATGTCTTTACTTTAGGCTAAATAATAGGAAGATATGGAATTAGAGAGTAAAAATAAATTACTGAGCATTAAGTCTGATAAACATAGAAGATGATAAAGTTGATTAGATTTGAAGTTGTCTTTTCTTCTTGTTGAACAGCCAAACCAAAGTTAGCTAATTAATTATGCAAAAATGAGTAGATTTTGTCGTTTTTAGGGGGGGTCCCTGTAAATCCCAGGGAATTCAATATTGCGACCTTATTTTTTGTCGAGGTTAATATCTCACCACACCCATCAATTGTGCCAAGTTTGAGCGAATTCCGTGATTTGAGCATTATCACTGCCTGCCTGGTTCTCTCATGGACACACTCTTAAATCTGTCTTTCATTATCCCCACATCATCATCTTTCCATAACTACATTTTGTTAAACTTTTTAACTTTTTGTAAAATTTCATTCTCAGCATCAAGTCACCGGTTATGTTATCGATGAAAACTTGCGAACAGGTATTTACACCAACAAAGATCCAAGACCCAAACCTATTTGTTGAGAACCTCAACACCTGTAAATCTCTCGTCAAATTTGAGCCTTCGCCTGTGGAGCAATTCCTATGTGACCTCGACAAAGTTACGCGAAAACGAACTTTTCAGTTTGTGGCTGGTATCGGAGAGCAACGGCAGCTACCACTGTGTTTTACGCTGACCGGTGATCATGTCTACGATGTGATCAAGGTGTCGCTTAGAAAGCGGCGTAAGTCCGCTATAGATATCACAAATGAACCGCCCATTTCTGAATCGATTTCTTCATCTGAGCCGCCCAGTTCTGAATCAATTGCTTCATCTGAGCCTGCGAGCACTCCAAAACCTCTGTTAGCCCTGGAATGGGAATCAGAACAGCAACAGGAATGGCCAGCGGATTTTGAAGCTCTTCTCGAAGACGAGGATGAAGAGAGTTGGTTTGGAAAGCCCACGATGTCTGTGATCAGCGATATCTGCGAGCTGACTTCGAAGTTGGGAAATCGCGTGCCAAAGACTGCTATGTTTCTGTGGGCTCAGTTTATGCACCTGATTTCCTGCAGCAAGAAGTTTCTTTCTTGCGAACGAAGCGAAGACCAAGGGAGTAACCCTATGGAAGCATTACGCGAACCCCCTCGGGGATGTTACTTGAGCTTGTATTGTAAGGACTTTAGCGAAGAAAGGAGCCGCGCCGTGGCGGATAAGAAGACTAAAAAGCAGGACACCAAAAGAAACCTAAAACGCACCCATGGGGCTCTTATTGAAAAGTACCAAAACAACACCAACCGAAAGAGGGCTATGGATTCCAAGCGGTTTCATCGGGGCGGTGGCAGAAGAGGATGTTGAGAAAAGCTGAACTTCGCACTAGAACATTTCTGCTCCTCTTAACTGCACCTTTCTCGTTCAGCCGGTCAGTACGAAGAACTGACACGCTGGCCGCGCACCTGCTTCACTCTATCTCCGCCACCCAAAAACAAAGTGTCTGAATTAGTGCCTTGACGAGAACTGTACACTGATCGACACAATTCTTTTTTCGTCACCGATGCTCTCTTACAGTCAGCCAATAAAAATATAAACTTCACTCATATTGACTTGTCTTTTTTCTAGTAGTGACTGTGTTTGTTGCCTGTGCTTCTTATCTAATAAACGCCGCCTCTACGCTATTGTGTTAGACGCCCTCTCTAATAAACGCCCCTCCCCCCCTCGAAAATTGCTCCAAAATACTAGGAAATGGTGACATATAGCAAAATTAACTCACATGCATTATTAACTATTCAGTAATCTAGTTTATAAACTGCTTAAGCAATGAGAACGATTGGTATACGACGGCCTGAAAATATCAGTAGATGAAGTGACTTTTCGCCGAATGCATACTGTATAAGTTTTGTTGAGTTCGTTAAACTTACGAGAATAAAAGCCCCCTAACTATTAATGCCCCCGCTCGTCGAGCAACGTGGTTAAGTTTAGATGTCTACTGGTTCATTATTAACCTCGTTCCCGAGGCTATTTCCCTTAGAAATTGGCCCCCCTGCAAATTTGTCAGGGAAAAACTGAGAACGAAGTTCGTTGGTTCGTTGTGTTGTAGCTCCCACGCAGACGTTGTAGGACTTTGTAGGAGGCTTGGTATGTTGTTCTCATTTCAAATTGGATGTAAACTGGCTGCTCTTGGACGTCGTATGCGGTCTGTTCGCCTTCAAAATTACCTTTACGATTGAGAGTGACACCTTGACGAATTAAGACTAGGTGTCTCGGTATTTCTAAGGAGTTTAACTCAAGTCTATCCGCGGATAATTGGAGGATGCGTCTACAACTCTTGAAATACAGCATCTCACACTACACCGTCAGTTTTAAAGGTCGTTGTCTATTCTTCGAAGACTCTCAAGTCCTGAGGTTATTTGTTCTGGCTTTCTGTCCAATGATTTACTTTGTTGTTCCTCTATCAACCGAAGCAATCTTTCTTCTTCTTCCTCCAGTAACTGAAGCTGAATTTCGTAACTGCGTAACTTTTCCTTGACTTGCGAGCCGTAACTCCTTCCGCTCAGCTTTCGAACAAACCACTGTTCCCAACTCTGTAAATAAAATTTTGAGAACAAGGGTAATTATGCTGTTTAAGATCCAAAAAGCCGTTTATGTTAGCGCTGTTAAGAATCATATCAACCCGACTGCGGTTAAATCCCTTTCTTTTGCTATTTGGTAAGCGGTTTGCGTGATTAACAAACACAAAACAAACAACAACAACAACAAAAAAAGAAAAATGTTCAACCACTCATTAATAAGAAACTTGAATTCGCTAGCCTGTGTACAGACGTCCCCCCTCCCTCAGCAAAAAATCGGAAGAAGAGATTCTGAGAGAGGCGGGACGTCTGTACACAGGCTAGAATTCGCGGGAATGTTTAAGATTGAAGAGGATTTTAAGGATTTCTTTGAAGTACAGAAATTCCTCTCTTTCTTGAACTAAAATAACTGAGAAATGAAGCTACCGCATTTTCCCTGCAAAACGGCCCGACCTTCGCGTAGCTCGGACGACCATGTAAAACGTGGTCGTAAAAATAGTGTCTCAAATTAGTACCTTTGTGCCAAATACATTTACACTCAAATCAAGTTTTTTCCTTAGAATGAAGTAAATTGAAAAACTCCTTTTAAGCAGAACCCAAAAGATTGCTCTGTTATACGATTACCTCCTCATTCCGCTTGGCATTTGCTACTAGCTCAGGATAATGATATTTGATGGTTTCTTCTAAAATCCATATATGGCACTTGTTAACCGTCCACTGGCCTTCAAAATGCGACAAAAAGAAAAATAATCATTAAGACTTGCATGGGAGGAGCTAATGTACTTTAAGCCGCTCAAGACAAGGAGTGAGAATAGGCCACTTCCGAGTTCCAAAAACCCTCACTATCAAAATGAGGCTAGGTGCACAACCTTTCTTGTGAAAATGAGTTTTATTTGCATGAGAATGAAAAATGATTTCCATATTAAAGGCTGAGCACCTACCCTCGTTTTGAAACAGAGGCCCGGGAGAACTCGGAAATGGCCTATTAAGCTTAGGTCCCGTTTACACAAATCCGGATTATTTCGAAACCGCGTATTTTGTACACCAATAGGCCACGGATAGGTGAGTAGATTCACTTGTTTTGTGTGGACAGAAGGTTGGTTGGTGTAAAAACCTATAAAAAATGTGGTTTTAAAAGTGGCTGGATTTCGGGATTGGTGTGGACAGGGCCTTAGACTACAAGTAATACCTAATTTTCGACAGGGAAAATGCTAGCGCGAGTGAATTATGCTACGGCTTGTGAAAATCACTTTTCTTCCCTCAGTGCGTCACCTCCCTCGTGGGTGGCGATTTTCCTGAGCACTCGAGTAACTCTCTCGCTCTACTATCCCTGAGGAAAAATAGGGAGTAATTGTAGTCTGTGAGAAGCTTAATTTGGAGCTAAAAAAGTTCTCCCTCTCCTCTGCGGGTCACTTTCTTCGCGGGTAGCGATTTTCACGCGCGCTCACTCTCTCTTCTATCCTTGAGGAAAATGAGGAAGAAATAATTGTCATCTGTGACTCACTGAGAAGCTTGGGACTATGCAATTGAGTGCAGAGCCAGGAGAAATGATATAAGGACATACACTCCCTCCTTAATCAAACGAGAAGTGAATCTAAATGTCGTGGAAGTGGTATGATTCAATGCGTTCAAATGAGAAGAACTTGTTCACCTGCTGCTCCCATCAAAGCACCCTGCACAATGTTCAGAAACACAACACCAAAACCTCTCCCTAATAATACAGAGAATAATACAATGACAGATGGTCAAAACAAGGACCTACAGTGGATACTTTTACATCATCACATACATTGTAGCTTGCCTAAGGAGTGCTCTAATGGTGCTAAAAAGAAAGTGCAATCAGGGCTGTACTGTGCCTAACTTGTGCTCTTGGGCTACTAGAAAATCGTACGATGTACTTTTTTCATACAAATCATACGATGGGCACCCTGGATTTAACAAGTTCAGAGCACTTGGCTCCCTTCAATTTTTCTTAGAGCACAGCTGGGGATTGCAAAAACATGATAAGCTCACATCCTTCTTTCTTCACATCCCTGTTACATTTCCTTTGCCAAAGTTCCTTTTCATTTTCCCTTCCATATGCTAACTTAGTAGGATATGTACTGTGTATGTTGTCTCTGGTTAAAAAAAGAATTCCTTTTGCCCCCTGTGAATTTTTTCTCACACGACAAGGCATTTTTGCCTCGTTTTGAGAGACATCTGCTAGCATGGAACCTGTGAATAATTAGGTGAGGAAGAAAAGGAAATTCTGAACCAAAGCTGGTTGAATAATCATTTGAACTGAGAATGGATTTCCCTTTTACCTGCCATATGTTTACAAGTCAAATTTGATTTCAGATTAATTATGATTTAACCTAGGTTGATTATCAATTTCCTTTGTATCCTAGCCCTAATTCATGAATAATTAGGGCTAGCAGACAAAAGAAATTGAGAATCAACCTAGGTTAAAAAAATTTAACCTGAAATCAAATTTGACCTGTAACATAATACAAATTTGTACATATCAATGCAAAGTTGAAGAATATTGAAAAGAATAACAACAAAATAAAATTTAAAATAAAAAATAAAAAACAAAAAAAAACATACATGTACTTTTGTAGTACCCTTTATTTCCACGCAGATTTTTTTTGCTGCTTAGGTATAAACCTCACAAAATTACCTTAATGTTCATTCATTCCATTCCATCTCTTAAATTCAAATTTGGCTGAGGTAGCGTGATTAACTTACAAATTGCACATGACAGCAACATTCCTACTGCTCCACCGCTGAGGGAACTTGCTTGCATGCCAGTCATGGCTTCTCGTCTCATGGTCAAAGTTGGGTTCCCTCGAAGTTGGTCAAGAGATCTTCTTAGGTCATGAGCCTTGGACGATAGCAATAAATTGTCTCTGATCACTGATGACAAAAGCACCCACACACACACACACAAAAATTAACAACATTAAATGCAGAAAGTTTATTAGTTAAGTGAATTTTTAACTTTTAGGCTTGGTAAGTGAATGTGAAACATGTGCACATGTCACGAGCATTGAACAAAGTCCCTGCCAGGATTCATACCTGTGATTTTCTGACCCTTGGAAGGGCATTGTATTCACTAGACTCCCAAAGTGCAAGGCCATATACTAGGTTTTTATCTGACATGCATCCTGTATAATTAGTGTGTTGGCCTCTCACAGTAGCTAAGTGACAGAGTGCCCACTTAGTGTTGGATAGGTCCTTCCTTTCCTACACTCATGACACACTGATCATCACATTTTTCACAATCAAATGTAGAAATTTAAAGGATAGAAATACATGTATAAAGTAAATGTTCAAGTTGCCAACTCTAACACTGACATACATGTAACAATGTCATGTATGAGTAAACTTACCAAAAAACAAGCCAGAGATGGTGAAAAATGAAGCACCAGTCGAAACTGAGTAGGTCAATAGACCTTGCTTCCTAAAGGCAGCATACGTACTGCCAATGCTTAAACCAGTCAAGCCTGACAGGAAAGCAAATATAATCATTTTAAAATATATTACTGGCAGCATTTTTTCCCTATCAGTAGAATGTAAATAACTTGAGTTTGTAAAATTCTTATCTTCAAAAAAATGTTAACATTGCGAGCTTTCACTTCATTATTTTTTGACTGATGTATAAAATGAAGTTGTGAAACTTGGCTTCTCACTTCACTCTCAATTAATAAATATTATTCAGTTAGTTTACTAGGAATGACATCTACAGTGTATTAATTCTCAACAGAAAACCAGATTTCTAGTGTAACATTGAAAAATTAATTCTATAAGAAGCAAACAACACTTAAAATGAACAGTGGTGCCCATTCTTTTGTCACTTTCTAACATCGTGATCCTTGTATCATGCGATAAAAAGGTTAGGTGTCAAACTGTGTTTCATTAATGTTCACTTTGCCAATTAAGCTTACATGATAAAAGCAAAAGCTCGCTATTGAACACAGACTCCTTCAGGCTTTTCCTTTAGGCAGACTATAAAAAAGTTCTACACTTTTGGACAGACCACTAAAACTTTGATTTTCCTTCTACAGTACATAGTACATAGTGTATGTCCTTTACCCAACTTACACTGTATTTAGTTACATCACAGAACCTCTGCACATACAATTTTGTTTTGATATGAACTCAAGCAGTGAATCTGCACACCAGTTTCAGTCACTTCCAGGTAAAGTTTGCGCATGAACAAGAAAAACACTTGGGGTGAGTAATATGCTTGTTCTTCAAACCATTAAAGTGGAAGAAACTTTTTACAAATCTCTACTAAAACAACTTCTTTCAAGTATCAAAACAATTTTGTATAAAAACAACTGGCTTCACCCCTATACATCTGCATGTACCTGACACAGCAGTGTAGCAAAGTATTTTTTTGGCTCTCTCTCCATCACGTCGCACTGTGTTCACCAAAACACTTCCTCCAGCACCAATACCAGCTAATAAAGATAGTAGTAGCTGGTTAGTTGCACTTTATTTGCAAACGTCAAGTGGTTAGACATGGTTGTAACAGCAAAGAAAAGGTCTAGAATGATCACGCCATGCCAATTTATATTTAAGGCAACCCATTGCAACATTTCAGGGTCATCCCCGGTGTAATATAATTTATTCCTTTTCTTTGTTTTACGGACTATTGCCAGGGTTAAATTCATTGCTCAGGAAAGTTTTTTTTGTTTTGTTTTGTTTTTTTTTTTGTTTTTACGTAAGCTGTGAGTAATACAGGTAAATTACATCACACCGGAGATGAGCCACATTTCACTCACCCTTCCATTTTCTCTAATGCTCATTCTCCGATCAATGTTTTGCGTACATATATATTTCTATCCTGGTATATTTCTATAGCACCATGTGATGTGCAAATCAGTGTTGAAGAGGGGAAAAGAGTAACAATAATGTCGAATTGTGACTAACAACCTGCATTGAAACACCAGGATTTTTTGAATATCGCCACGGCAAAAAGTGGGGGGAAGCTTTTTTAACTAATGATTGAATTCCTATTCGGAAGAAAACACAACAGTGTTAGCTATTAATTAAGAATCCTAACCTGCGAAAATAACATGTCTCGCAAACTTCGTCAAAGGTTGACCATTAAGCGCCATGATACCTAAATATCTCGCTAAATATCGAAGGCGTACTAAATAAACTCCTGTTCCGTCCACTTTGCCGCCATCTTGACTGCGCCTCCAAAATAACGTACAGCGGTTGACATCCTTAGAGACGTAATTGTTGTGTATTAGGCAGAATGTATCTCCAAAAAATCAAAATATGGCGGCAGTTTCAGGTGGAGGAGAGAAACCATTAGGAACTTCGGTGGATTACGATTTGCAAAAACATCTGAAAGGACTAAACACGGCTACTCCTGACCTTTCTACGTTGGCGCAGAAGGGTGACGAAAAGGTAAGAAGGAAGAAACAAACTCGCAGCTACAATGAGTACATTTAAATAGATTTTGCGTTGTTCGTAGCAGCTAACAGTGTACCAATTCAACCGTAATGTAAATGCGAACTTAAGTCTGTGACGCAGACTACAGTTTTTTTAGCTTAATGTATTGTGTAGATATAACTTAAGCTTACATGAATTTGTACTCAAAGGCCGCTCCATTTGATTTTGCGTTCTAATACATAAGCTTACACTGTACCTGTAGAACGAGGGACATTGGGTCACAATGCGGATACCGTCATCACGTAAGAAATAAAGAAACCAAACAATAGAGTTCTCCTGGGGGCTTTATTGTTTGGTTGTATTGTTTCTTTTGTTGTATGTAATCTGTGCCTCGGTACCTACATGTATATACAGAAGTTAAGCTATGCCGCTTTAATACAGTGTAATTTACGTAAAATTTCATTTAGCTACAGGAGATCAGCGGAGGATAAAAAACAACAACAATGACAAACAAACAGACAAACAAGCAAAAACAAACTCACATTCATGTTCAAAGTTTGTATAATATTTTCCAGCTTTGATTTTGTCCATAACACTGTCTACGATAATGACTCTGAAACAAATGAAAATACTGGAACTCTCAAACCAAGGATAAAATAATTGAACCGCAATGTACACTCTTTGCACAGACAATTACATGTATATCTCTGATACTGCAACAATTTCACTTAAAGTGGTAAGTTAGGTCAGCAGCCTATAAAATGGAACGTGTAAAATATCCATTAAAGAACAACAGTATTTTGAGCTGCAGTTATAAAAGTCTGACCATTGTTCTTTTAAGAATTTATGGGCGCGATCCATTCAACCAAAATTCAGACCGGTCCGACTGGGAAAAGTGGTCCACATCAAAAGGTGGACCACTTTTTTCAAAACTTTTCTGGTTGGACTGAAGCGATCCATTGAGGTTTGGACCGAAACTTCCAGAATTTTGGTTGAATGGATCGCACCCTATGAAACCACGATTGGTCTTAACTTACCCCCAAATCCCTTTTTAAATTTCCCCACAATATGAAAAAACTTTAGGTCATTGACATTTCTGCCAAAAAATCATACACATGTCAAGCAGACAAGGCTGTGCTCTAAGAAAAACTGAAAGGATCCCATGCTCTCAATTTCTTAGGGTCCTCAGCAGATAATTTTCTGGTCACTTAGCCTTGTCCTACTGCAGTACGACATTTTAATGGCAGATAGGTGCTTTGTTGGCTCATGTAATTTAATTGGAGTTACAAATTAATTAAGTTTTTGATTAGTATGGAATTTTGAAGATTAAAATTAATTGCTTGACTTTGCTTCATTTTTGTTTTTAATGAAACTCAGACAATTTTTTATTTATATCTGTCAAGATTATTAAGATGTCTTATTTCTCTTTCAAAAGCTTGTGGAACAGTTTATGACTGAAGATATTCAGATTGGTGGCACAGCAGATGAAAAACTGCAAAGTCAACTGTATATTGGTAAATAACAATGTACCCGGCATATAACTATTGTATTCAGGTTGATAGACCTTTATAAGATGTAACTGGAGGCTTAATTATTATTGATTGTCGGACAGTTTAAACCTTAGGATTTCATTGTAGAGGTAATAAGGGATAACGCATGGAGCCAATGTATGTCAGTTGAAATTTAACACAACTTTAGGGAGAGTAGCTGTCCACTTCAATCATGACACTGTTATATTTATAAGAATCTCTGTATGTACCCTTAACCCCAATTTATTACTTGAAACACTAAGCTACTTAATAGCCGTAACGTCATCATCATCATCATCATCATGTATTTTCCTTCATCATAATCTTTAAATGAAGCCAAACTAAGTGGACATCAGTTTATCAAGGGCTTTATAGTGGTGACAACAGTGGGAGAACTCTCGCTAGGACGGCCAAAAGCTAACCGCAGTCACGTAATAGAGGTGGCCGCTTAATAGAGGTTTAATTCACCATTCTTTTCTACAATTATTTTGGGTTTTTGAATTACTTTCCATTTAATATGCGGTGGCGGCTTAAAAGGTGGCTGCTCAATGGAGGTTTAACTGTATTAATATTAAATTATTTTTTTATTTAATCATTTGACTATGGTATGATTTTTCTTGAAGCCAAGTTATATGTCAGAAAATGTTAGAGAATAGCATATTGTATTTTTTTTTATCTCTCTGCACTGATCTGATTGTATGTACACTGTCTATTAGACTGTTTCAAGTAAAAATCCAGTGATGAAGGTACATATGTACATGTACCCATAATTTCTTTATCGGTTGATATCATTAAATTGGAGAAAAATTTGATAATTATTATATTATACTATTATCTCCGGAAGGGGAGGTGAATATAGTGGTGGATATACCCAGAGGCAAAGGGTCAAGGTATATATCCAGCTCTGTTCACAACCCTGATGGGGATAGTTGTTTTAGTATTTACCAAATCAGTTGGATAGAAATGAAAAAAAGTAACTTTTAGTAAATTAAAAACGTCACTTAGTATGCACCTTATTTACAATTTACAAACATTTCGGGAATTTTGTCAAGTGTATTTTTACATTTTTGTTGAAAATTAGCATGACAATAATTTTCTACCAACCAGTAAACACTGGCAGCCAAAGTTTGTCACTTTCTTGGTATTTGTTTGTACGGCTGCTTCATGTATCGCTCAAATTTCATCTTTTGAAAATGTATCGAAGTTACAACACACCATCTTGGCTCTGGTCGCAAAACAGTGAATAGCCAAGAACATTCTGAGTTACTGGAGCCAACCAAAACATGCAGAAATTGCTATTCGCTGATTTGGTAAATACTAAAAATCAATATGCATGTTTATCCCTTCTGGGTTTATTAAATTCACTGGATCACTAATGTTGGTGGATTATCATACAGTGTACATGGAATATCAAATCAATTATGTCACTTAGATGAATATTTCATTCTTTCAGCTTGTTTCTGGGGCTTTTATGATGTTGTTAAGACTCTTCTAGACAAAGGAGCAGGTATACAATATTATCACTTAACGGTAGTCAACATAATTATTTTTTTGTCCCGTAGTTAGTTGATATTCCTTAATACAAAATTTCCTTGAGCGAAATTACAAAACTTGTCACTTATCTCAATATAAAGTGCAGAATTTTTTGTGTTTTATTTCACTTCCAGAATATTGAGCATAATTTGCAGATATGTTCAAAAGGCCTGCTAGTGCAGAGATCAACCAATCACCAGTACCCTAATTCCCTTCTTTTTCTTATAATGTTATTTCGTGATTTGCAGACGTTAATGCACAGAATAAAGAAACTCTCTGGACTCCTCTTCATGCTGCCACATTTCAGGAACATGGAAAGGTATTTGAAATGTTTCTTTGGCTTTTGTTCTGACTGTTTCATTCACCATAGTAATGGGGAAGTTAAACAGGGCACCCTAGCAGCTGACTGCAGCAGTTGGAGAAACACTCTCCACAAACAACTAAAGCTGGGCGAAGAAAAGCTGATAGTGATGGCAGACGAGCAGCGAGCTTTCAGAAAGGACTCGTCCACCAGACCTGAAACCACACACAAATGTGACCTCTGCAACAGAGACTGTCACTCTCAGATTGGCCTGTTTAGTGACAGGCGACGCTGCTCAAACTGAGCTGACAGCCTGGAGGTATCTACCCATGGTCGACCCTGACCGACAGGGGCCTCACAGGGAAGAGACTGCAAGACTCCCTCACCTCCCTTGCTCAATGCCACTTTTTTATTCCTTTCCTTACTGTAAAATTAGTGTAATTAATAGCTGTTTGACTGTTTATCTACAGATTGTGATGCTTCTTTTGGAGAGAAATGCACAGCCTGAGCTTCCTGATTGTGAAGGAAGGTACACTCCATTTCTATGCATTATTTTATCAAAGCAACTGTATACAGCAGTTGTGCTACAGTGTGAGTGCCATATAATTAAACACCACTATGCCTGACACAATGTTGCAAGGCCATGCTCTAAGATTTAAAAGCTTGGAATCTGGGGTGCCCAACATTACGACTTTCGTGTGCAAGATTTCCTTGTCCCCACAGTGATACCAGGCTCTGCATAGGCATAAACCTTTTATTGTTACTAATGTAGTTTTTGTTTTGTTTTGTTTTCTTTCATTATTTTTATAATGAAGAACTGCAAAGGACTTTGCCTCAGCATCTGACAAAGTTTGGCCACATTTTGCCGGTAAAAATAAATGTGTTCAGTGCAAAAAATCATTTTTCCTTATACCCTGCTAGAGAGTTGTGCTGGAAACTGAAAAGATCAAAGTCGTAAGTGACTCTGCCAGCAGGGCAGTGTACATTTAGAATAACCAAACGACTTGAATTGTACTAAATCTGTTCATTTTTGCCCTTTGTACTGAATATCAAGTACATGTAAACGAAAGTAGATGCCTGTTAAATTCATATTATTACTCTACAGGTACTAGACTATGAGTAGTCCCCCATTTTTCTTCAGGGATAGTAGAGCGAGAAAAACGCGAGTATACAGTGATAGCAAGTGTTAATGTTGTCCACAGTAATCCTAATAATTGATTTAATTGTACTTTTGATACTTGCGCACAATGGACAAGTCTGTTCATATGTACCTTGCTGAAGATTGGCAGCTGTCGAAACTGAAACTATCTGAAGGAAATAAAATAATATCAATCTGGCATCTTGGTACTTCTAACCTAAGTCAGTTGTTGGAGTTGAATTAAAGAGGAAGTGTAACTGAGATAAGCGCTACAGACCACAGGTAACCCAGGCTCTGTGAGGGTACCACAGTACGGTTCCAGTAAAATTACAGTGTTTGTATGGGGTCAAAATACCATCCTAAAATTTCTAGGAAATACTAAATAAAGTTCAATGAAACTTACTCTGCAGTTAATTGTTGTTGTCCTTATTGCTCCAACGAAGTTTCGTGATCATTTGCAGTAATTTGTTCAAATTCACTCTATATACAATACATATAGAGTGAATTTGAACAAAATTAATTACTGCAAATTATTACGAAACTTCGTTAGAGCAATAAGGACAACAACAATATTAACTGCAGAGTAAGTTTCATTGAACTTTATTTAGTATTTCCTAGAAATTTTAGGATGGTATTTTGACCCTATACAAACACTGTAATTTTACTGGAACCGTACTGTGGTACTATCACAGAGCCTGGGTTACCTGTGTACAGACTTGAAAATCCAACAGAAGTGTTTTCATTCTTGGTGGAAATCTTTTCAGTATGGTGGGCCAACTCTTGGGTGAAAGTTAATAAATCCCAGCACACTGCAAAGTAGTGTATGCGAAATCTGTTAAATAAAAAAATGTCTTCGGTTATAAAGATAGATACTACAGTAGAAAAAAACGGACTAACACTAGAAAAAGTGTGTCAGTTGTTTTGCTCGAAAAAGGTGTTCCAAATACAGAACTCAACGTTCACATGATACCAAATTAATTTTTGGATCAGTAATCTTATTTTACTGCCACTTACGAAAAGCTTTTTTTCATATTGTCGAATTTTTAGCTTTAAACTGCCCAAGAACATCAAAGCAAGAGCTTATAGAAAAAGGAATAATAAAAAAGGTAATATTGTATTTTGTAATTTAATTGTTTACCCACGGAGCACTTCTAAGGAGTTATTTTAAGAATAAGAACTCGTTGGAACGTGTCCGTGCGTCCCAGATCGAATTAGAATTTGGAAGTGTTGGTTTTAAAGGAGATGGGAAGACCGGATTACCCGGAGAAAAACCCCTCGGAACAAGGAAGAGAACCAACAACACACTCAACGCACATATGGCGTAGACGCCAGAATTCGAACCCAGGCCACATTTGTGGGAGGCGAGTGCTCTCACCACTGCGCCTGCGCAATCTTTTTAATATGATGTTTTATTAAAATCCAACTAGTGGTCTATTATCAATGCTGCGTTCTGATTGGTTGGGCTACTACTAGGCTATATGTTATAGTCCCCTAGTAGCGAAAAGCGCGGGCTTTTTGGCGGCAAAAAAGGATTAAAGTCTAGCTTTAACTAGCTAATTTTTTTTATTCTCGGTATTTTTGACCAACTAGTTGGATTTTACTAAAACAATTATTCCTCTCGCCCTCATGGCCTCTGATTCAATAGCCCATTCGGCCTTCGACCTCATGGCCGGTTACTTAAGGTGACTCGACCCAGTTTTTCTGGGGGGGGGGGTACCATCCTATTTTGAAGCTCTCTGGTATCCCCACCTTTACTGTTAGCGTAAGTCTAACACATAGAATGGATAACATATACATCAATCTACAATATAACATAAAATTTTTGGCGAGCGGTGTAAATGTCACGTGGTTATAATGCCACGCCCCTTTGAGGTCTGAGTCGAAAATCTGCTGTTGCCGGCATTTTTTCGTGAAAATCTCTCGGCTACACGTAGTGCGCATTAGTGCCTTGCGCTGAACAGAGTTTCACCAAAATCGCAAAGACCCAATTCGAGAAATTCAGCGGTTTCCAAATTTAGGTCATAATTTATGCGAAAATGATAAGTAAACTTTATACGATTATATCTAATAAACTGTGAGCCTTTATTTTGGGGATCGTTATAACAGGTGGGTCCTTGCAAGTCAGCAAAAAGCTTTAGGGCCTTGTAAATGCGCGCGATTTCGAGCGAAGCAAACATATAGAAATTATAGTTTTAGGTATTTGTTGACGTTTGTCAGCCTTTAAGAGCCCTTCTCCCGAAAAAAGCATTTTCTTAAAAAATTCGTAGTTTTTTTTTCCTTCAAATTTTTTTCAGGGCCACAATTGATTAACTACCCGGATTCTGAATTTCATGGTGATAGAAATACTGTGACATTATCTTCTATAACCCCCCAACTTGAGTAAACATTGAAGATTTTTAGCGTTTTGGCTGAGTTTGTGCTTTGGGAGTTGTCTATTTTTTCTAGTCTGTCATTATACAGCATTCTTGTTTAGCACGCGTGCAATGACCACACTTGGCTGACTTCCGAATGCTCACCGAGATATGATAAGACGCACAAGAATTGATTAAAAATCATGAGTTAAACCTCTATGTATCACGCGATCGCCTGTCTCAGGCCGTACCAAAATTACCATATCTCGGTGAGCATGCGATAAAAGTAAAGGTGGGGATATCAGAGAGCTTTAAAGTAGGATGGTACCCGGCCAAAAAATTGGGTCGAGTCACCTTAAGAAGTGGATTCGCCGTGCTTCAAACTTTATCGCGGTTATTCCATCTCGTTTACTTCGTCAAATGTTGGCAAATGCTTTTGGAGTTGAATTCTAAATTACTGCATCAAAGTTCAGGAAAAAAAAGGGAAAGTTGTTGTCTTCTGTTCCCGTCCTCGACAAAACGTGAATTTAGTCACTTTCACGTTGCAGTCGTGCAACGACGCTAAAGAAATGTACAAAAAAGCGTGATGCACGTGCAAAGTTGTTGTTTTGCTAATCTAACCTTTTGTTTGTTCTTTTTTTGTAATGCCTTTCTCGTTGCCGTTGCCGTCGCTTAAGCTCCCTATTATTTTGTTACGCTGTTTCTCCTTCAATACGCTCTTCTCACTTATGGTAATATGCCCGTCTAACCTCGTTTACGGGTAAAAATTCTTTTGAAATTCAAATACGAAAACGTCGTCTGATTAGCATTTCAAAGGACTTTTTACTCAAAAACGAGGTTAGACGGGCATATTACCATACGTGAGAAGAGCGTGTAGGTGGTTTTCATGCAATCTCGGGAGACGCAAATAACAATGGTGAAATTAACAAATGCTGGTGGACAAACAAAGCGAGCTAATGAGCGATCTTTTGTTTACCGTCCACCAGCATGGCGGCGATGACGTAACGTGAAAACCACCAGAATTCAAATTGTTGCCATAACTTTTATCACTGTCCAGTCAGTAATTATATTTATATTGTTGCTGCTAATAAGCCACTTCCGAGTTCCAAAAACCCTCACTTTCAAATGAGGCTAGGTGCACAACCTTTCTTGTGAAAATGAGTTTTATTTGCTTGAGAATGAAAAATGATTTCCATGTCTATCAAAGGCTGAGCACTTACCCTCGTTTTGAAACAGAGGCCCGGGGGAACTCGGAAATGGCCTAATCACTGCAGCAGTGGATTTTGGCGAAAAAATGCGATACTTTCTCCTTAGACATAGCTTCAGCGAAATAACGACGTAATTGGTAGCTATAGTACTAGTGGCCGTAAAAATCTGTGACTTCAACGAATAATCAAAACGAAGGACAACTTTCCGAAGAAAAATGGATGACACCACAATCCTGAAAACCCGATACCCTTAGTATTAATTTGATGCGTGTCTTTAAGAAGTTTATTTTACAATTAATTATAGCTGGAGGAGCCTTCTAGGGCTGGCTCAGCCGGTAGGCCAGGATCAGGTCCCAAAGGTAGACTGGTAAGTAACTTGTCTTATGAACGATCATTTCCTCGGTTCATGCAAATCAACTCCAATGGATCTAGGAGTAGGATAACCTCAATTTAGACCAGCTTTCAAATATATGTTTTTAACACAGGTCAAATCACAGGTTTTGTTTTGTTTTTCTTTGCTTCAGTGTAAAACCTCATAATAAAGTTTTGAACAGTTTATTTTTCGTCTGCTGATAGTCAAAGCGTAGCTCGTGATTATTTTAATGAATGCCAACTGAGCTGAACTATCAGTGGCATTAGCTCCTATAATGTAAAAGTTGTCTGTGAATCTGTGGATGAAATTGTATAAGGTGAACATTCTAATAAGAGCTACTTGGGGGAATGATTTCCCGTGGTGCACGGTGGACCCTCGATATAACGATGGGTCAAGGAGCCGAGAAGATGAAATATGTACGCACTTACATTACATGTATATCGAAAAAAAAAAGAGTCAACCCAAACAAAACGGAATTTTAAATTTTTAAACAGATTTAACTCAATTTGTAACTAGAGTAAAAAATGTGGCTTTGGGAGTAAAGAGCTGCACAGCTGTGACATAACGTGTCTCGTTTGTTATTATTCATTCAGGCAGCTTTCTCCAGGCCGGGATCAGCGTATGTTCTTCAGACCGATCCCTTTGCCAAGAAACGCAGCAATCAAGAGAGCATAGACTTCCCCCTTGGTAAGATTATCCTTTAGGCGTTTGTCGGGTAGAGTGGGGGCGGGGGGGAAGCATCCCTGTAAAAAACAAAAGCGGATTACGAAGAGAAAAACCGCTAGGAACAGTAATTAAAAAGAAACAAAAAAACGATACGGACCCTTGTCGAAATTTTTGATACGTATCTCCGTAAGGTACTGCATGAAGTGAAGGAAAACGCAGTCTGTGTTCAAAGTTTTTACACAGGAATCCAAGGAAATGAGCTTTTCTCTCATCGCAAGTCTTGCAAAGGTCTTTACGTCACGGTCTGATGAAGAGTCAGCTCTCCACACATCACCTGAGTACATCAGAACACATTTTCCTTTTCCTTTATTTATTTTTTTTTTTCAGTAGTATTTTAGAGAAAGTCGAATTCAGAATTCAATTTAGACCATGTGGGCCTAACCATTTAACTTTCTATCTGGCTGTCTACGTCTGTCTCTGTCCATGTAGCTTTCTGTCCATACCATAACATCTCGATCCGGCCATAGATACTTCCACTGTGTTCAAGCCGCGCTTCGAACACACACACACACTGCTACCCTTCTTTTCAAACTGCACATCACTTTATGACATTTCAAATATAATGGGAAAAGAAAAAGTAGCCAAATGATCTTAAAATTTGGCGAAACCGCTCTCAGACAAAAAGACTGTAGTCTTGATTGGGTTAAAATTGACAGGTTATAGTCTCTCCATTTTTTTTTTTTTCAGGGTCACCTGCCGGCGGTGATGTTTTGGCAGATACAAGAACGCAAGGGCGGGGCGATCATGCCGACAAGCCGGCGTTCTCCTTATGGCGTTCATGAAAATGATCCCTTTTTGTTCTTTAATGAGTGGTACGGAAAAGCGACCCATTGTATAGCTTTGTTTCAGTTGAGAAATGATGAGTTACGAAGTCAGAGTGTAAATTACTGATGTACTTTTTTTAAGAGATATTTTTGGTGTCAAGTTATTTGCTTTATGTGAAAGGGTTTTACTTTGAAAATTGGAAAATTAGCAGCGGTGACGAATTTTTTTTGCTGTTTGTACATATTTCGCTTCACCTTTATTATCAATAGCTGCAAAATATTAAAAATATTTTCTTTTTTTTTAAAGTATCAGTCATCAGTGGTTTGCAGTTTCAGCTTTGCGGAGACTTAGCCTTCTCGGTCTTCTTTGTTAGAAGGGACAATAGACTTGAGGACTGAATATTTGTTTGCAGTTTACACAAGAAAGTAGGCTTTTCAGTGTTCAAAGGCATCTCTAAAGCTTCTGAGCCTGGCTAAACTGAAGACTATGGCGGTGTGCACACTTATGTTACGAAAGTAAACAGGACGTTCAACCTTTTTTTTTTCTGCCAGAGTGAACGATCGAGTCTCTTATGGAGGTTCTAACTTTTGAATCAGTGGACGAAATCCAATAGTATGACCATTCAAATGAAACCTCTTCAGCAGTACTTTCACTTAGTACTATTTATTTAGTATGTAGTTCCAACTTTTGACTCTGTGGATGAAATCCTGTGGTGTTACCATTCAACTCAAACCTCTTCAGCAGTACTTCCGCATGGTACTATTATTTTATTTACTATGTAGTTCTAACTTTTGAGTCTGTGGACCAAATCCTATGGTGTGACCATTCAAATGAAACCTCTTCAGCAGATCTTTCACATGGTACTATTCATTTAGTTTGTAGTTCTTACTTTTGAGTTTATGGATGAAATCCTATAGTGTTACCATTCAAATGAAACCTCTTCAGCAGTACTTTCACATGGTACTATTTATTTAGTATGTAGTTCTAACTTTTGAGTCTGTTGATGAAATCCTATAGTGTGACCATTCAAATAAAACCTCTTCAGAAGTACTTTCACATGGTACTATTTATTTAGTATGTAGTTCTAACTTTTGAGTCTGTGGATAAAATCCTATGGTGTGACGATACAAATGAAACCTCTTCAGCAGTACTTTCACCTGGTACTATTTATTTAGTATGTAGTTCTAACTTTTGAGTCTGTTGATGAAATCCTATAGTGTGACCATTCAAATGAAACCTCTTCAGAAGTACTTTCACCTGGTACTATTTATTTAGTATGTAGCTCTAACTTTTGAGTCTGTTGATGAAATCCTATTGTGTTACCATTCAAATGAATCCTTTTTGGCAGTATTTTCACATAGTATTATTTCTTTTCAGAATGAAACTTAAAATTTTGTTCAATTTTAACTTAGGTCAACTTTGACAGTCTAAGGGGTAACCACAACTAGAACTACCGTATTCTCCTGATAGTGCCTTTTTGTTAACGTTTCGATAGTTTAACTTGTCCTTGAAGCACTTAGGTTACGAGAAACTGGTACAGACTTATGAATAACAATTTAATCCGTGTTGTAATGATCGTGGCAATAATCATCATTTCATTTTTCAAATGAGTCAAGAAGAGGGAAGGAAGACTGAGGGATCGCGAATTCCTATAGATCTGGTTAAGATGAGCTACACACACAAGTTAATAAACCTCACCTTTATTGTCAATCTTCTCAGTTTTAAAAGCAAACTACAGTAACAAACAAAATACAGTGAGCAGGTTCAAAAATTGATGGCTTACAGATTTCAGCATCCAAGCGGTGAAAAGTAATTGACAAATAGTAGAAGACTCTTGCATCGATATCCCTAATAAGCGCCTCTCCTTGCCTTCCCCCTCGATCTATTCCTCTCCGTTTTCTTTGCTAGTGTGATTGACGGGCAATTCAGATTGGCCAAAACTCCTAAAAGCAAGGCTTTAGCCAATTCATTTCGGATTTTGCGACAGATTATGCGAATGAAGAGGAATTGGCTGTTTAATGAACTCAAACACGGCATTTGGGGCCTCATTAGCCTGTTATGAAATTTATATCTCGCTAGAATTCCAACTGGCTGTTATAAAAATACAACAACGACTATTTCAGCGCTACTATCCCTTCACTTTCTCTTCCATCTTCCTCAATTTCTTTTTCTTCTTTTTGTTCTGAAGTCTGATTTTTCGAGCCGTTATCGGACGCAAGAAACTTGCGTTTGCCCTTTTTTCAATCCCATGAATGTCACTTTTACAAGCTACGTTTGCAAATATTCGGCCAGATATTTTAAGTGTTTATATTTTTGGCGTTTACGTTTTATGTTGTTTGCGCTGGGATAAGACTTTCGTCTTCCTCTATTATTTCTGTACCTGCAATTAAAGTTGAAGAGATTTAAAGGTTACATTCAACAGTTTGAATTAAGTTGAAAATGATGCCTCTGAGGAACTCTATCGTCTTTCTGGAGTGTGATCTGTTCCACCTGGCGGGGCGTAGATCTTCCCAGACTATCCGCAATAAAGACCGGGTGGGCGAGGTCGCCTGTTGCAAGATCTGTGGCGTCCGTCCCTGGGTCGGCGCCTACTGCGAAATTGACGTCGCCTGACAGGTGGGCGTCGTCTGCGAAGTAAGCGTCGCCGGCGTGGGCGCGGCCTGCGGGGTGGGCGCGGCCTGCGGTGTGGGCGCAGCCTGCGGGGTGGGCGTGGCCTGCGACGTCGTCCTCGTTGTCTACGCTGAGAGTCCTCGATTTCATGCTGATGTAGTCCTAGCATTAAAAAAAAAAAATAGAATATTAACTTTCTATAATGCACAGGCGACATGCTCAATATGGTGGGTAAGGAGCGAAGGTACTCAAAGGCCAGTTTCCCTGGAAACATCTTGTGTTAAACAAAGTATATATCGCTCTAAAAATAATGTTGCCAAATGTATCTTGGAAAAATATGGTGTGTGTGGTGTTGGTAAAACACCAAAGGAAGACATGTTTGCGTGCACTCCAAGTCATGTACGGTGTTAATGAGGTGAGAAGATTCATTTGAACAACATCAGTCAAACTTCACACTCGAGAAGACTGAACTGACTCAAGCCATGGTTGCATTATATTCTACTATTCGATTTGTAAGAGATTATAAATTTATTTTCACGTTCATTTGTGGTAGATCATAAATATATTTGCTATCAAATTTACTGATTTCTTTTGCTTGAAACAAATAAATCGATTTGTTCATTTTTAAGTTAAGACATGAAAAGAGTTTTTTCGCTTTATAAGTTTCTACATTCGCAATTAACGAATGCCTTAGTTTATTTTTTAAGCTCTTTTAATTTTCCTTAAGTCTCGAGATCTTACCTTCGTTCTTATTTTTTCCATCTCTCGGAAGGATTTCTAATTCATTTGCTCCCTCCATGGCTGTTTCATAAGACAAATCGCCTCCTTTTTCTTCGTCTTCTTCCTCGTCCTGATCTTTAATTTCATCTCCTTCGCCAAAGTCATCTTCTTCCTCTAGATCGTGGTCATCTTCATAAATACTTTCATCTTCATTTTCATCACCCTTGTCTTCACCTACGTAGTCTCTGTCCTCTGTGTCTTGCTCACCATTGTCTTCCCCATCGTCGGCGCCTTCGTCCTCCGGCAAATCTTCGGCGTCTTCTTCATCATCATCGTGATGGACCTCGGGCAAATTTTCGTTGTCTTCAGTCGATGCACCCTTTCCAAAATCATTATCAAAATCTTCGTTGAAATCATCTTTCAGCTCCAAACCTGCTTCTTTAGTTACAGTTGCACAACGGCAGAAATCTGTTAACAGAGCAGCGCATAGAACAAACAAAATTGTGACAAACCAACGAGTCGCCAACATCTCTCCCTGCCGCATCCAGCAACCCGGAATCCTCTGGCTAATCTCTGAAAGAACCTGTATTTAAACTCATCCAACACAGAAATATTGTTCTTGGAGCAAGGTCATCAGTTAGGGGAAACATTTTCCTTGATATCAGACTATTTAAAAGTGATCCTTACATTTTGCTTTTCTATTTCTGGTGTTTGGACTTTCTGTTTCGGCTTCGCGGACTTATTTTAGCAAATTTTAGCTATATTACGGCTATAGTAACAATATGGAACATACAGAGTACCTTTTTTCTTTCTTTCTTCTTTATTTTTTAATTTTTTTGTTTCAGAAAATACCGTCGCCTTTCTCACCAAGTTTAAAAAACAAATAGTTGCATTACACAGGCCCAACTGTGAAAAAATGTGTTGAATCAAAAGTCGACTTGATTCGATTTAGCCGGCAGTGCGCGTTGTTGCCGACGTAATTGGGACACGATTGGACAACTAGTAGTTCGAGATTAAATACAAGTATTCATTCCCATGCACCCCAGATAAACCCCTGTCACGGAAATTTTCCTTACGTCTTGGATAACAACAGGACGGAATTGTGACGACTTTCCTTACATAACTGGCTAGAAATTCCACAATCGTATTCTTACTGGATTACGCACGCGTAGTCAAATTTTAAGATCGCTTCTAGCATCGACGACGGCGGTGGCAAACTGAGAGCGTCAAATAAGACAAGGGCTTTATTATCCAAACAAGAACTCCGCTTTTGCAGCACAATTTTTAGTACACTTTTTTAACAATCGTTGCACAACTGCGATAAGACATTTCCTTGTACGACGTTTATGAAGGGCGCAATGGCGCACGATGGCGTATTTTATTTCGAGCACATAGAATTTCGAATGGATTTGAACACCTCCCCTACAATCTCCTTCCCTTAAGCAAATATCATAATTGATTACGCCATGAAAGAAACAGTAAACAGCTCAGCGTTTACCTTGGTTGCTCTTGGCAAGTTTTTGCTAAGCACTTAAGCTGGAGTTCGCGTTTATTTCGTGCTTAACAACCTCCTACGCGCCTTTATAACGTTTAAAATAGCATATGCTGGGCCATTTTTTAATTAGATAGTATCTCAACTCAGTCAGTCTTTTGTGCACATACAATTTTGTAGTACAACTGCGAGGATCATATCTTCATTTAAATTTGTATCTCCGCCGCTTACATTATCTTTATTTCTATAAAAATAGATAGTCAATTGCTATTTGACGCGCGTAGACAAGTGTTTATGCTGTCGATGGCATGACACGTAGTCAAAATTGACAAAAGTAGGGCCTGTATTGACCTTTATAATCGTCTCTCAGGAGCAAAGAAAATCTGACTCAGGACTGATATTAGTTTGTTTTTATCCAACAGTAACTCTCGGGTAGTGTTACTTCTTTCCTAGAATTGTTCAGTTATCGTCGATTCCTACATTTTAAATCCTAGAGATTCAAGCCTTTACATCATTCGCTATCTCTTGGTTTTTTCTCAGCATATGAATTGTTGTTTTGTATAACTGCTTTCATTGGCTAGACAGATAAACATACTGGAAATAAAAAGTAATGCGTATATTGACCTTAAAAATCATTCTCCGCTACAAAGAATATCTGACTCTCAGGATTGATATTCAATCGTCTTTATTCAACAATAATCACTTGTCACTTTCTATCTATAACCGGGTGAGTTATCTCTTCTCTTTCCTACACTTTCCCCTAACTCCATGCAGCCTCTTCTCGGCAGATAAGCAATGCTATTTTGCACAATTGCTGCCCAAAAATCAAAGCTTTTTGAAAATATTGAAGAAACAATTTTTTTGACAATTCTTCTTTCGATGATAGTTTACGTGAAGGAGAGAAAAATTCAGATTTGTCAACAGCTTTGAAGATATCAATAGGTTATTTACTGAAAATGTTTGCAATCTGACTTGCGCAGGAGTAATTTGATGATTATATTGTATTGTCGATATGACTAATCCTCTTCCTTAAACACTTTGAAATCATTAAAATTTCGAAGCCTTATCATCTCTCTCTTTTTCATTGTTCAAGCACTTAGAACTTTGAATTAACTTGCTTAATTGCACACGGCACAAAACGAGTAAAACTCTCTCCTCATACTTCCTGTAAGCAAATAACTATTACTCAGTTTTTTTCCATTTTGATATGTTATAAAAGAAACAGAAAACTACCCAGTACTTTTTATTGAGTTAGGAATTTACTTGGGAGGTTTCTTAAAAAGCAGGGTCACCGGAACCTTCATATCCTCCAGTATATGATTTGGTTGGTTGAAGTGGGCAGGTACAGGAAGGTCATTCCTCCCGTTGATGATATCTCTGCGGTGTTCTCGAAAACGGTTCGCCAACCTGTGTCCAGTCTCCCCAATGTACACTATCGATGGACACTTGGTGCACGACAAGCAATAAACCACGTGTTCTGTGATGCAGGAAAAATGTCCCATGATGTAAACATGCCCTTTGGGTGTTTCAGTTGTGGATGATGAATTAACATGGGGACATGTGCGGCAAACGGTCCTGTTACAAGGAAAAGTACCTGGTGATTGGTGTGGAAGGTTTCGAGGTAGGCTGTTTCTGACTAGCAGATCCTTCAGATTCTTGGCACGCCTGAAAGCCTTCAGTGGTGGTTTATTAAAGATCTTGCTTGTCCTGCTATCCTCGCGAAGGATCCGGAAATTCCTTGAGATTATTTTCTCGACAACAAGGTTACTGGGGTGGAAGGTAGTGACAAAAGGTACTCTAACCTTAGCGATGTTGTTAGCAGCGTCACTCTTCAACATTTCAGCCCTTGATTTGGTCTATGATCGTTCCCTTCCCCTTCTAATGAGGTCATTCGGATATCCGCGTGCTGTAAAAAAGGTCTCCATTTTTGCTGCCTAGAAGTCAGCGTTATCGCTACAGATCTTACGCAGTCTGAGAAACTGACTAGAAGGTATGGATGACTTGCAACTGTAAGGATGGGATGAGCTGAAGTTGAGGTAAGAGTGGCTATCCGTGGCTTTGTAATGTATAGAAGTGGCTATGCGATTAGCTTGAGGCTTCATGCAGATATCCAGGAAAGGAAGTTTGTCCGTTGAGACCGACCAAGTATATTCAAGGTTAGGGTGAAATGAGGAAGCAAATTCGAGGAACTGACGGAGGTACATGGATGATGTGGCCGGCGCTGCTTCATGTAGTGAAGAGGACCTCTGTCAGGTGCTCGAGTTTGCTTCCTTGTGTTTCAAAATCAGTTAGGCTAGCCTTATGGTTGGAACGAAATTTACCGTTTTTGCTTTTTTTTACTTTGCATTTGAGGGCAATTTCCAAGTACAAGCCCCTGGGGGGCTTATATTTGGAGGGGCGAATACATGGAGGGGCCTATTTTCGGCATTTTACGGTAGACTAGACTAGAGGCGGTTGTAAGAAACAATCTCCACCGGTAGTTTATAGCAAACTTAAAAATGTCATTTTCTGCAGTTTGTGGTTTCCGATGAAAAACCTGATGTTCAAGGTCTCAGTTGTATGTAGTTTTCCTATTGTTACTGCTGGCATTAGACTGTCCTCTACTTGTATATTACTTATGTACCCACAATTAAAGTTAAAATGAAACTTAGAACGTACATGTTACAGTTTGATTAATATGAGAAGGCTGCGTCTCTGGAATTCTAAAGTCCTGCTGAACTTAGTGAGTTGTATTTCATTTCACCTGGCGGAGATTCGGTTCTCAGTCCCAGACTATCGGCAAAGGAGACCGGGCGGGCGAGGTCGCCTGCAGCGTCCCATTCTGTCTGGGCCTGCCCCGCCAAGTACGCGTTTCCTGGTGCGCCGGTTTCGTCTTCCTCGCCCACTTCTCCTGACATTGATCGTGTCTATGAACACGCTGAGTCTTCGGCCTCGTCTTCTTCGCTTACGCTGATGTTCCTCGATTTCATGCTGATATAGTGCTAGTAGTAGAAAAAAGTTACAATTTAACAAGCTAAAATGCAATATAAAAATGAGCGTGGTTAATTTGTTGGTTTGGTAACCAACTGAATTTTTAATGGCCAGCGAAATTATGTGTTAAAGTATATGTAGCTCTAAAATGTTGCCAAACGTACCTTGGAAAACAAAGTCTGGTGTGTCTGGTGTTGGTAAAAGTTAAACATTTAAGAAAAAATGTCCGTGAATGCATTCAAAGTCATCCCAACAGTATTAGTGGGCTGAAAAGATCCTTTGAAAAACGCCAGTCCCACTTCATACTGATTCAAGAAAACACAAAACTGAAGCTATAGTCACAATATACACTTTTGTTCGATGTACAACAAATTATCTTTTACACTAAAATTTTTAGTAGATTGTAAATATATTTTCCATGCACTATAGACTTCCCAAAAGTCGACTGCCCGAGCGCCGAAGGCGAAAGGGACTAACCAGCACAAACCTCAAACGGGCTTTGAGAAAGTCTAATACATTTATTGATTTCTTGTAATTAGAGCAATGAATTGTTATTCTATGCGCTAAAAAATTGAGTGAGAAAAAAAAACTCTCAACTTTATTTTTCTGTTTTCTATTGACTTCTACTTGCAGACAATGATTTGGTTCATTAAGAAGTAAAGGCACCTTCCTCTTAAAGTTTCTACATTCGAAATTTGACAAATGTCTCTAAATAGTTTGTTATTTTCCTAATCTTTGTTTTTTAAAATTTTGCTCATGAAGAACTTACCATCGCTCTCCTTTTTTTCATCACTCGGAAGGATTTCTAACTCATTTGCTTGCTCCATGGCTGTTTCATCAGACAAATCGTCTCCTTCTTCTTCGGCGTCTTCATCCTCGTCCTCATCTATATATATAATTTCATCCCCTTCGCCAAAGCCATCTTCTTCGTCTAGATCGTCGTCATCTTCATAAATACTTTCATCTTCATTTTCACTCTTGGGTCCACTCTTTTCTTCTATATATACGTTGTCTACTATGTCGACTGTGTCTTGAATTTCATTGTTTCTCCTATCTTTGCCTTGTTC